ATTATAATGATAAATACTAAAAATATGTTGTAATATAGAAAATGTTCATCATTGGACACTAATTAAAATAATTAATATATAATAATATAATAAATACTAGTACAATAATATGTCTATTTCTGTCCAGTCCTGAGGGGACCATGGAGAAACAAGCTAGCTTGCTTGCTTTCTCCTGTACTTCCTTCCTTCCTTCTTTCTCTCTGTCTCTCTCTTTCTTTCTTTCTCACTCTTTCTCTTCCTTTTCCTCTTCCTTTTCTCCTCCTTCTCTGCCTCCTCTTTCTCCCCCTCCCCCTCACTTCCTCTTTCTCCTTTCTGGTGCTAATTACAATACTCTGAAAGACTTCCAGTTTTACTTTTACAGTTACTTGGCCATAATAAGCTCACATAATTTATATGTGAATCTCAGGATTCAATTTGCATACCTGCAAATTGTTTACTAATGTGATGAATATTTTATGCATATTACATTTAACAATCAGTGAGGTATATCAGTTAAGTATTCACTTTAATTTCATAGTGTTCTTTTGGTATTTTGGAATGAGTAATTTTTCCTGTTGGGTTTTGCATATTTGCCTCTAGAAGTTTGTAATCCTCCACACTGCCATGCTGTGCTATGGATTCCCACAGCTCCTCCCACTAGAAGATTCCTGCTGTGAGTTCGGAAGTCCTCTCTGCCTTAGACGGCCTCAGACCTTCCCAGGGGAGGAGCTTCTTACCATTTCTATCTCAGTTGAAATGACAAGAAGGTTTTCTTGGTCACTCACTGGAAAACAGCCATCCAGTCATGATATTTTATTTCCACTGTAGTGTTTACAATTAGCTGATATTATTCTTCTACTAGCATCTAGAATGTGTTAAATAGATTTTTTTTCTGAATGTACTGATTTACTGATATCAGTCTATCAACCCATGGATCCATGGATTGTCCACCCCCACTGGAGTGTAATGTCAGCATAAGATCGCTGGTCCTCCAGGGGTCTAATACAGTGCCTGGCACATAATAGATGTGCAAAATTTTCTTGGAATGAATAAAATGATAACTATGATTTCTATACATATTTCCTAGTGTGTATATCTTCCAAGCATTGTTGTGGTTTGAGAGAAAGAGGTAGGGTGGTGTAGGAGGCAGAATAATGTCCTCCTCTCTGAGAAATGCTTATATCCTAATCCCTAAAACCTGTGAGTCATTAGCTTATAATGGTGAAGGAAAATTTCAGATGGAATTAGGGTGCCTCAGCAGCTGATCTCAAAATGGGAATTCCTGGTTTATCTAATGGGCATAAGGCCATCATAAGGGTGCCTTTAGGTGGGAGAGCGGGCAGGCAAGGAGGTTAGGACAGTGCGGTTCAAGAACTCTGCCAATCACTGCTGGCTTTGACGATGAAGAAACGGTGGAGCGCCAGAGTGTACGTTCTTTCGAAACACTGGATGACCAGGAAACGGATCCAACATTTCTTCTGTGAGCAGCTGGACCCATCTCAGACTTCTTGACCTCCAGAGCTGTAACACACTTGCCTTTGGCCACTAAGTTTGTGGTAATTTGTTACAGCAGCCAAGAAAACAATGTAGATGACTAAGCCAGTTGTACTGGGAAGATGCAGGGGCCCAGATTGATAAACCCACATATTCCGAGTCCAAGGGATGTAGTATTTGCTCAAGCTCGATTTCAGTTAGTCAGAGCTGAATCTGTTACTACTCTTAGCATCTGTTCCAGTTATTTATTGCTTCATAGCCAACCAGCCCCAAACTCAGTGGCTTGAAACAATGCTGTCAACTTTCATGGCTCTGTGGTGTTGATCTAAATAACATGTGGAGCGAGATTTTCTAAAGATGAAGTTTGCATGGAAGACCAGGGCACTGCAGTGCGAGTCTGTGTCATAGTGACCTGTATGCCTATTCAAGGACGTTGAGGCCAGGGACAGACTTTGAGGGCGAAATGAAGAGGATTGTATAAGACATTTTGAAACAATACTCTCTGGCTATTTAGTAATAAGGTGGCATTGGTCTAAGATTCAACACACTTGTTGGGCAGACATCCCTGCAAAAAAATGGTTTGTGCAGCATTGCAGTGGTTGTTGTGCAAGCTTGTGTTTCTGGTAGCCTGTTGTGAGCTGTTCTCATCAGGCAGGTATGTATGAGACCTCCTTCACACTCTCTGACAAAGGTGACTCTGTTTTCATTCGGACAACTTTCGCAGTGGATTGATGCGGCTCAGCTGAGAAATTCTTATGTGGGTCTGCTGTGTGATTACAGTCAGACATTAGCCAGGATGTTGGTCATTTAAAGGATTAACTAAATTAGGTATCCAAGATGCCTCATTCACATGCCTGGAGGTTGATACCAGCTGTTGATTGGGAGCTCAACAGGGAATGTTTTGCTTTGTTTTGTTTTGTTTTTTTGAGACAAGGTCTCACTGTGTAATTCAGGCTGGCCTTTAACTTGCAGTGATCCTCCTGCCTCAGCCTCCCAAGTCCTGGGATTACAGGCATGCGCCACCACTTCCAGCTTCCGAGGGGGCTTTTGTCCAGAGCACCAACACATGGCCTCTTGTGTGCCTTAGTCTTTTGGCAGCCTGGTAGCTGGGACACAGGAGGAAGCATTGCAAGAGCCAGCCTCACAAGAGGCAGAGAACAGAAATGGTCAGGCGAAGGAGGGAACACTGTTGCTCCCAGTCTATTCTATTGGGTGAAGCAGTTGCAGGGTCTGCCCAGATTGAAAGGAGTAAGAAACCCCACCTGTTGATGGGGGAGTGGCGGTCATACTGCAACAGAGCTTGTGGGATGAAGGTAACACTGCAGCCATTTTGGGAAAGCAGTTCCCTACAGTACCCTCATCTGCAGGACCTGAGAATACCTCGTGACCATCTTGTAATCAATCAACAACTAATTCATTGACTGGTGTTATGGCAGGGTACCGTGCTGGATTGGCTGGAGGTTAGAGAAGAATCAGGATCAGGCTGTGCCCTTGAGCAGGGAGCCATCCAGCTCCGACACCAGTGTTCCCAGGTGGAGGGTTCTTGGGGCTTCTTTCCAGGACCTTGGTGTCCTGAACAAAGAATTGGACAGGACACGCAGAAGAGCAGCGAGGTTGCACATGGACTTAGATGGAAAAGTGGTATGCTCTACTGGGTGACAGCCCGCCGGTGAGCACTCACAGTGGCCCCAGGACAAGGCAAACGGGTCTTGTGTATCTGAAATTCCTGGATTGGCTTCCTCCTCACACAAATAAGGCATTGGGACAGTTGTGCTGTCAAAAACTGGCTTGGCCTGGCCCCAGATTTAAACTGCCTGTGGAAAGACTGGCTCGGCTTCCTGCCAGATGTAAATGAAGGATGGAAATTAGCTCTGTTCGCAGACATCACGCAGCAAAGAGTAACTTGGGGTTTAGTGCTGGTCTATGGGGTCCTTTCAGATATGTCTCCTGCTGGTCAGCACACGGAATTCTGGGCAGAGATTAGCATGGGGGAGTTTACTGAGAGGTAGCTAAGGTCCCTAACTGTGTTTTTGAGAGGGCAACTGTGAAAATAGCATGTTCTGATTGGTCCTGTGAACAATGCCAGATGCAGACGAGACACTGAAACTGCGGCTTTCTAATTGGTTCCTTGTGCAGCACTCAGCAACTGCGCAGTCCTCTGGGTCCTGTGTTCTGCGCATGTACTCCGGGGTCTTTGACTTTTGACACCTTCCACCCAGGTGTTCACCTGGGTTGCCGCAGCCCTAACCTCCTACCTCACTGAATGAAGAGCTGAGCACTGGGGAGCCGCAGGAGGCAGCAGAAGCAGAGCACAGCAGAGGTGCAGAAGGAATGGAGTAAAAGAGCAGCCAGTGACAGCTGGCCCAGGCAGAAGCCACACCAGGCCGCCTCGGGGCCGGCAAGGAGGAGCTTGGAGTGACAGAGGCAGGGAGCAGAGAGTTGCCTGCTGGGCCTCGCTGAAGGCCTGTACCAAGCTGCCCACCGGCACAGGAAAGGTTTCACTGGGGTGTGAAAGGAGAAGACTTCCTTCCAGTCTACTTCCTACTTCCAGGATCCAGAGGCAGCAATCTAACTCATTTGCCGGGAGCGTAATGTCTTAGCGCAAGCTGCTGTGATACCAGGAAACTGAGTGGCTTCACCAGCAAACATTTGATGTTCATAGTTCTGGAGGTGGGAACAGGGACCCAGGTGCGAGCCGGGTTGGGTCCCAGTGAAGGCGCGCTTCCTGGCTGGGAGAAGCTAATTTGCTGTGTCCTTGGCTTTTGGCCTTTTCTTAGAAGGGCAGGTGTCCCTTTCAGGACCTTGTCATCTCCCGAGGCCCGCCTCCAGTGCCGCCACTGTGGCTGTCCTGCTTCCCTGTCCTAATGATCATCACGTGAGAAACAGCGACGGCACCTGGGTGGTAACAGGGACCCCTGCCCTTTCCTTCTGCCTCTTGCAGCAGAACACCAGTGCGTTGCAGATGGCAGCCCAGCGTGGCCACGCGTCCCTGGTCAGCTTCCTTCTCAGTGAGAATGTTGACCTGCACCGGCGGACGGGGGTGAGTCCGCTCTGCTGACCGGAGGCTGGCTGGGCGGGGAGGTGTTTCCCAAGGGAGGAGTTCTTTCTCACTCTTTCTAGAGGCTGTTTTAATCTTGAGAAATAAAACCCATGGGGTGAATTTTTCACAGTCATTGAAGTTCCTGGGCAGAATGAAATCCCTGTGTTTTCAGTGTTTGTGTGTCCTGCACTCAAACCTTCTCACATGTCAGGAGGGGCCCTGAGCCCTGCATCAGTCTCATCGGTCTGGGAAAATGCAGAAGCTGCTATAAACGTGAAGAAAGATGGTGGTCCACCTGCCCCTCACTGAACAGTCATGTTTTTCTTTGAGGCCAGCCCTTCACACTGATGTAGGTTTCCTGAAGTTTGAATTGGCTTTGGTCAAATTAACAAAGGCCCTCTGTGCTAGAATTAGACAAGAAACATTCCTCCGCTTTCCAGGGTATTTTCATTTCTCCTGTGAGAATATTATTTCCTCTGATCCTGCTGAGCCAGTGCTATTTATTATGTTAACTTGGGAGAAGAGATGTGATTTGAAGCCTGTCTGGTGGCTTTTGGAGCCTAGAGGCAGCGGAGTTGGCTCTGTTCCTACCTGGTCAGTCCAAGGGTGCTTCCTGTTTCCCAGGAGCAGCTGGGCCCCAGCAAGGTGGGTGGGCCTGGTAGGGAGGACGCTGCCCACTTCTCTGACAGGAGGGATGCTTCTCTTTCCTGCCTGATGCCTCAAGGGAGAAGGTGACCTCTGAACAGAGGAGGCCTGCACAGCCTTCCCCTCAGGCGCCATCTCCTCCTCAGCCGCCTCTGGGCTGCTCAGCCTGCTACCCTGTCTGCCCGCTTCCCCTCTTCCTGTGTGGCTGGTGACACTCTGGCCTGCGCCCTGCATTTCTCTTCCACCCATCCATCTCCTCGTCCTCAGAAGGAGGCTGGGCAGATGCTGGAGTGAGGAGGGCTCAGGCCCTGGCTTCCCTTCCTCGCTCTGGGGGAAGTTGCAGCTCCTTTCCGTGCCTGGTGTGGACAGTGAGGATGCGAGGCCTGGGATTACTGAGCCTGTGGCTCCTGGAAGCTGGAGTTAACCTCCTGTGTAAAGCAGCATCCGCTGCGGGGGAGGTGAACGGAGCCCGTGACCAGCAGGCGCTGACTGTGCCTGGGCGCTCTTCCACCCTGGGTCCTTGCCTCCTCCGGCCTTAGCCACCTCTTCTCTGCCTCCTTCCCCAGGGGCGGCTGCCTTCTCTGCTCCTGGAGACCAAGTGCCTCCTGGAGACCGAGTGCTGGGGCAGCTGGGGGGCTGAGGCCAAGGGCGCGATGGAGGAGTGGGTTTGGGCCAGGCGGGGACGAGGATCAGAGGCCTGGGAGGCTGTGTGGCCAGCAAGACCTGACTGATCCACAGAGGAGGACAAGGAGGGAGCTGGCTGCACTCTGTAGAGGTGGGAAAGCTCAGCACAAGCATCTGCCCCAGAGTAAATGGGGACCCCAGTCCCACAAAGATGGGAGGGCCCAGAGGTCATCAGGAAATCCACGCAGCAGCTGCGGAGGCGGGTTGCACTGAAGAAGCCGGAATCTTTAGGTCTGACATTTTTCTTTCTTTCTGCAGTCTGGCGAGTCCCCTCTTCACACCGCAGTCAGCAACAAACATGTCGCTGTTGTGAGCAGCCTGTTAGGTGCGCAGCACGGCACTGACGTCTTGGACCAGGTGAGCCAGGCCAGTCCGAGCCCGAGGGCCCGCGTTCTTGTTTCAGTGCAGGGGGTGTTTCCAGGGGCTCTGGTCTAGCTCAAGGTGCCTTTCACCCTTGGCATCCCCCTTTTCTGAAGTAACCCTTGCCCGCCCCCAGCCTGTCTTTGGAGGTACAGAGAGGGGTCAGAAGAAGTCGTTCATACTGAGGAGCCTTTTTGAGAAACATGTGACAGGCACCTTTGACACAGCAGCTCAGAGTAAGTGGCCAGAGGCTGCTTAAGTCAAAAGCCATTCCTGATGTGAGACATCCCTGCTGGGGGCCTCTCCCTGTAGGGAGGAGGCTGCGCTTCTGCATCGGGGCAGTGACTGTGTCCTCCTTTGCCTGGAGCAGGACGGTCCTCAGGAATTCAGTCCACTGGGGCAAAACTGGATGCTCCGTGGGAGCCCTGGTCAGGGCTGGAAATGGGAAGTGGAGGCGGGACAAATGGCACTGTCCTCTGCGGCCCGGCCGGGCTAGGCTCCTCCTCCAGGTTGTGGCAGTGGGCTCCTGACACCTGCCTCGTGTCCCCATTTCCTCCTCTGTAGACCCAGAAGCAGCCTCCAGCTTCAACCTCTGGGTTGATTTCTGCCCAGCGCTGGTGGGGACTGGATCTCCACTACCGGCCCTTCCCTCCCCAAGGGACTCTCTCCGGCTTTGTGTCTTTCCTACCCATAAGCTGGGGACGGAGAGTCTTCTAATGAATACATACACTTACACGTTCAACTCTGCTCATGCCCTAAATCTTTCCTGGTGGGCAAAATCTTTGCTAAATACACTGATCCTTATGCTTACCTGTGATTTTCGTCTCTACAGAACTGCTTAGATCTACTCTAGGGAAGGAACATTCATTACCCTGGCCAACCAGTTATCATCTCAAGCTTTCTGGTTAGACCAGGAATACAAGAAGAAAATTCGTATTTTATACATAAAATATTTGTATAAAATAAGAACATAAACATACTTAAAAAAACCCCTTAAGTATGTATATAGAGAAAGATAATTCTTGTTAATGTCTTGGTTGCCTGTCTTCTAAACTTAGAATTGTCAATATGAGATATGCCAGGTATAGTGGTATATACCTGTAATCCCAGCACAGGAGGCTGAGGCAGGAGGATTGCTACAAGTTTGAGGCTAGCCTGGGCTATATAATGAGACCCTTGGTATCTGGCATATTACATCTGTTCTGTGTTCTGTGTTGGTATATCATCCGCAGGTTTGTAGTACTGTATTTTGGATGATGAGCCCCAGAGAGCAAGCTGCCACCTGCAGCAGAAGCCATTGTAAATGCTTTTTGACAACCACAGCAGCTCCTCCAGCATTTGGCCCTGTGCCCTGGTGGGAAGAGTATGGGGTGATACTGAGGTTGCTCTGCCTCTGGCTGCAGATCTGGCCTCCCTCGCTGCCAAGGCTCCTTTCTGCCCTGAGGTCTGTGAAATGTCTTCACACCAGCCTCCCTCCTAGGGGGAGGTTCCGGTGAGTGATTCTTGTGATTGTGCATATTTCTTTTGAAACACTCAGCCTCTTGATAGCACAAGGATCATTCCAGAAAGAAAGGAGGAGTCCTGGGCTCCTTTGTGCGCTATAACACGGGCATCAAGACGATGACAAAAATAACTGCTCACCCCTTCATCTGGACATTGTTGCTGTTAACGCTGTTGATCTTTTTCTTTTCTTCATATGTATTTTTAAATTAAATTAAGGTCAGCTAGATGTCATGTTGTCTTGTAAGGTTTTTTTAATATTATATCAAATAATTTTTCACTCGTAAAAATAATTTTTTTTTGTCTTTTTGAGACAAGGTCTCACTATGCAGTTCAGGCTGGCCTTGAGCTCACTTTGTAGCCCAGGCTGGTCTTGAACTTGCAACAATCCTCCTGCCTCAGCCTCCTGAGTGCTGGGATTACAGGTGTGTGCCACCATGTCCAGCAAAAATAATTTTTGAAATCATATTTTCTTGTGGTAAAATAAGCATAACATGAAAGTTACCATTTTAATTGTACAGTCCTATGGCATTAAGTATATTCACATTGCATTCACGTTGTGAGAAATCATCACCACTGTCCACCTCTAGAACTCTGTGTGTGTGTGTGTGTATGGTAATAGGGATTGAACCCAGGGTCTCACACATGCTAGGCAAATGCCCTACCACTGGGCAACACCCCCAACCCTTCCCTACTTCTTAAAACATTTTATTTTGAGACTAAGTCTTACAGAGTTGCTCAGGCTGGCCTCCAATTTGTGATCCTCTGGCCTGTTTTGGTTATTACCCAACATTCAAAATTAGGGAAGGAAAGGTTTATTTAGCTCACAGTTTGTGGAGGTTTTAGTTCATACTTGGCTGGCTCCAAGGCAAAGTGGCACATGGCAGAAGGGCAGTACTTCAAGGTGGCAGAAGATAGCAAAAGCAACAAGAGCAGAAGATGGGGGAGAGCAAGCCTCTTTTACTCCCTTACACTGTAAGCACAGTACCATCCCTCAGGGCAGGCATAGCACTCATACCACCTCCTGTGCCCTCCTCTTGCACAGGATCAGGATGTTTACAAAGTAAGGAACCTGGCCCCTGCTGAGTCACTTAGTTAAACTTCCAAACTTCTCAAGTTGACACTATGCATCAACCATTACACTGCCTCAGCCTCCTGAGAAGCTAGGATTACAGGTTGTCTTATTTACTTAGGTATTCTCTTTGCTGAGACAGAATAACTGACACTTAGAGTTAGAGGAGGAAAGGTTGATTTTGGCTCACAGTTTATAGAGGTTTCAGTCCATACTTGGCTGGCTCCAAGGCAGGGTGGCATGACAGAGGGGCATCTCAGGGGAGAAATAGCTCATGGTGGGCAGAAGGCAGCAAAGTCAATAAGGGAGAAGTAAAGCCTCTTTCTGTCCCTAATATTGTAACCAGGCTACCGGGATTAGGGCAGTGCCAAACCAGTGGACTGATTTAATAATCACTCACTCTTAGTCCCAGCACCCTTAATCCCAGCACTGCACCATGAATCAATCACATACTCCAGATCCAGCCACCTCTGAAAAAGCCCTTCCTCTGACTGCTTGAGGCTTTGAGGGGACATCTACACACAGCTATGACACTGGTGCACTGTGGATATCATATCCACAGTGACATGGTGGCACACACCTGTAATCCCAGCACTCAGGAGGCTGAGGCAGGAGGATTGTTGCAAGTTCAAGACCAGCCTGGGCTACAAAGTGAGCTCAAGGCCAGCCTGAACTGCTTAGTGAGACCCTGTCTCAAAAAGACAAAAAAAATTATTTTTGCAAGTGAAAAATAATTTGATATAACATATCAAATATCACATATCACATATCACATTGTGTCCTGTCAGAACTTGTGTCATCCTCTCAAACTGAGACCCAGTTACCTTCTCCCCAGCTTCTGGTGGCCACCACTCTGTTTCCTGTCTGTATTGCTCTAGGTACCTCATACTGAATCCCCCCTGCCACACTTTAGATTGGACATGTCTTCCTGTTTGCCCAGGCTGTCCTTGAACTTCTGGGCCTACTGATCCTTCTTGCCTCATCCTCCTGAGAAGCTGGATTACAGCCACTGTAACCAGCTCTGAAACAATTTTTAATGGTTGCCTACGATTCTCATTTATAGATGTGGCATAACTGACCTCATGTCCCTGTGCACAACATGTAGCTTCCTCTCAGTGTTTCGCTATTATGAATAATACTGCAACGATTGTCCCCTCTACCCAAGTAGAAATACATGATCTATGCTTTCCCCCTTAGGCCGATAGAGTACACCTCAACATCTTAGCCTTTTCACCGTGCAAGGACTATTTTTCCTTCCGTCATGTGCTTCCATTACATTTAAAAATTTTTCATGGCAGAGGCAGCAAACCCCCCTGCACGTGGCTGCTGACCTGGGAAACGTGGAGCTGGTGGAAACGCTGCTGAAGGCGGGCTGTGATCTGAAGGCTGTTGATAAGGTAATCACTTCTCCGTGCTGCTGAGATGGAGCCGCGCCCCCTTGCGGCCTTGAGCGTGAGCCGCAGCAAAGCGGTGCCGCTGGCACCGGCGCCAACCAGAGACCTTGCTTAATTGTAAATAGAGAAACATCCCAAGTTCGGTGTGTTGAGATGTATCAGCGAGCATTTGTACTCTAATAAAATGTGTTTTTAAGATTCAAATTATCCATTAAATATTTTTAAAGATAACATTACATGGTCTAAATATACAAATTATGTATATATATATATATATATATATATATATATATATATATATATTTTTTTTTTTTCGGTACCGGGAATCGAACTCATGACCTTGCTCTTGCCAGGCAGGCGCTGTGCCGCTGAGCTAAATCCCCCACCCCCTGGATATATATTTTTTATAGTTAACATTTTTCATCCATCCTGTCCCTGCTTACCTGGTTCCCACACTGCCCTGGCCAGATGGATCCATTATTATTATAAATTTCTTCCATTTCTTCCAGGATTTCTTTATGTATATACAAGCAAACATAAATACATTGAATCTTTCCATCGTTTCATCTTTTTAAAACAATGGTGAATAATACTGTTTGTGTTTAGCATTTTTTTCCTGTCTTTTTGAGACAGGGTCTCACTATGCAGTTCAGGGTGGGCTTGAATTCACTTTGTAACCCAGGCTGGTCTTAAACTTGCAACGATCCTCCTGCTTCAGCCTCCCAAGTGCTGGGATTACAGGCGTGCACCACCACCCCCGGCCAAAGTGGAAGTCTTTACAGATTAGTAAATGGAGAGCTTTTTTATTTTTAAACATTTTATGTGTTTAAAAATGTGTGGACATATTATAATTTATTCATATCACAATTGATTGTGTGTGGACATATTATAATTTATTCATATCACAATTGATGAGTGTTTAAGTTGTTCCTAAGCATTTCCTAGAGCTGCAATGAATAAATGTTCATGTGTCTACACTTGTTTTATCGTTTAATTAATATTAATTTTTTGTAACATACACATAGTGTGAAGTTGGGAGTCTTACCTTGTCTTTCTTCCTTGCTTTGTTTGGTGCTGGGGATGGAGCCCAGGGCTTCATGCCCGCTCGGCAAGCGCTCTACAGCCCCGGCCCCGGGCTTGCACTTCTCCTTCCTTGTCTTCACCCACACAGTTCTTCAGCTCAGGGCCTCCCTAACTTTCCCCCTGTAGTTTAAAGGCGTTTATGCTGGTATGGTCGACAGCAGTAACATGTTCTCTTACCTGCGGTGTGAGTTGGATGTCTTTTCAGTGCTGGGAATTGAACTCATTGCCTTTCCACTGAGCCCTTTGGATTTTGTATTTTGAGACAGGGTCTCGTTGGGTCACTGAGTTGCCCACACTGGACTCCAGCTTGGGACCCTGGCATCTCAGCCCCAAGCATGCTTAGAATGTGGGCGTGGGCCACCGTGCCCGCTGCCTGGTCCTCTTCTGTGTTTAGACGCTGGCTCTTGCTAAGTCCTGAAGTTGCCCAGGCAGGGCTTAACCCATACATATTTAATTAATAGGTGAACACTGCATTTGATACCTACTTCCACCACTGTTACCAAAGATAAGTGTTTCTATGACCACATTATTGCCTGGATGAAAGAAAAAAAAAGAGCAAAGGTTCACTGTAGATTTTACTTTCCTGGAAGCCTGCCTCAGGCCCCGAGTTTCTTTTGTTTATTTATTTATTTATTTATTTTTATTTTAAAGAAAAATTAACAATAAAAACAATGGTATAAAATTTCAAAACAAGATTGTAGGAGAGTAACAATGGTTAGTACATTGCGTACTGTTATCTTCAAAGTAGTTGCTTGTGTTCTAAGATATAGGCCTGAAAAACTGATCAGACAATATAGGCGTAAACTTTTCCTTTCAATGAGCTAATAGCAATCAGTATCTTAAGTATCTTATGTGTATATATATATATATGTGTATATATATGTATTGATTTACTTATTTTTCCTTTTGTTCTTTGAAACTGAGTCTCACTATGTAGTTCAGGCTGGTCTTGAACTTGCAGTGATTCTCCTGCCTCAGCCTCCTGGGTGCTGGGATTACAGGCGGGCACCACTGCTCTTGGCTGGACCTGAGTTTCACCAAGTGCACAGGGGTCTATGACCCATCTCCTCTCCCCTCTAGGGTAGAAATGGTGGCCTTTCCCTCCAGTGCATTCTCCCTGGGACGATTTCCTCATTCTGAAACTGGCTTTCAGAATGCTGCCTTCTCAAAATAGACTAATTATGGTGATTCAAATGGCTTTACAGGCCAGAATTTAGGCAGCATGCAATTAGAGGCTTGCTAAATGCCCGCAAAATGCAGTGCTGCCTAATTTCATTACTGTCTCTTTTGATTAGAGGCTGATTACTTTCAACCCTAATTCCCAGCCCACCTGGGTGTCGGCACTGCACGAACGCAGGATCTGCCGTGTTGGGGGAATTGTGCTCGTTGCCAGCAGCCAGCTCTGCACCACAGTTATTGGCGGTTTCTGGATCTGTAAGGGCAGCAGTCCAGGTCCTGAGATCAGAACCGCTGGAGTTGTTTCTGACCATCCATTTAAGTTACGGTCAGGTGCCTGAGCACATGCTTCAGGGCTGTGGAAAAGCACACAAGCGCCCCCACCCTTTGCTCGGGGAAACGTGCGTAGAGAAGCTGTGCACTGCAGGGAGCGCAGCGCTGCTGTTTGTAAAGCCGTGTGCCCTGGTGTGTGAGCTACCGCCACCCGAGAAAGGTGCATGTTTGGTAGTCTGTATAAGACACCATGTGGACGCTAGGCAGTACAGACTCCATGTTATGTCCAGAACAGCTCATTTTGTTTGTTCTGTTTGTGCTATAATAGGAAAAATATTCTAGGTGGGAGTCCTGTTAACTGAATTCTATGCTATGAGGTAAGTTGGGTTGTCATTGTTGATAATATTTTTAATAAGACACAGCCCTTTTCCGACAGATTACTCCACCCGTCTCAAAACATGGCTTCTACTTCCTGGCCTTAAGTGGCTGTTTGGGCTCCTGCCATTGTCTCAGCATTCCACTCAGAAAGCAGAGCCGTGAAAGGAGAATGCCGTCTCTCCCCTCTGCAAAGACACTTTCTGGAAGCTGCACGCTTCCTTCCACTTGCACACCGTGGCTGGAGTATCACAGGAGGGGCCAGCAAAGGGCTCTGTGAGCACTGTCACATTACCTTCCCCCTGTACCTGGGCCCAGAGATGCTCGGGACCGGCCTAGGTTCACCCAACCAGCAGTGGTGGGATTGAGACCAGAACCCAGGCCCCGTCCTCACTGTCAGGGACACCACCTCATCCTTTGTCTTCTCCACTTTTAGCAGGGGAGGACCGCCCTGGCAGTGGCCGCCCGGGGCAGCCACAGCCTCGTTGTGGACATGCTCATCAAAGCAGAGCGGTACCAGGCCTGGAGCGAGGTGAGGCAGCCGCTGGGGGCAGCAGGACCCCTGGGCGGGGGCTCTCTGTCTCCTGCCCCAGGGCCTCTCCAGCCCGTGAAAGGTGTGAGGCTGTGCCCTCTCCTCACACAGCCCGGCCACCTCTGTGCCACACGCTCAAGTGACAGCTAGAAAGGTTCCCTGTCAAGGCCCTGAGGACTCCAACACGCCCTGTGCCGGCTTCCAGGCATGTGACCGGCACGGAACATTATTCATCTGCGAATATAGCCAAGCTGTGTTGGAGTCATTTTTTGCTTTCACTGTCGTTTCCTCCGGTATCTGCCATTCTTGTACCGCCCTGTCCCCCGAGATCCCATCTGTGCCCCCAGACAAGATGTCAGCACGGGCCACCAGCCTGAGGGTGCCAGCCCCAGGACTCAGTCCCCTCATGCGGGGTCTGCACACCTGACTTGATGCCCACCTGCCCATCCTGGGGAATTTCCTTTAAACCCTGGAAACAAAAGGCTTTTGCGTCTACCTCTTCTCTGTCTAACTGGCTTGGTGCTGTGGGCCAACAGCCACGGGTTACTTAGCAACAAGGGTGCTCTGTGAGCGGTGTCACCAGGCCGTTTGATCGCTGTGTGACCGTCACAGTGCTTGCACCACCACCGAGCGACAGCCCTGCCCCTGCCTCACTGCAAGGTGCAGCCGTACGTGCCCGGCACTGACCAGCACTGCTCTGGGAGAGCCTCACTGTCGTCCTCACACCTTTTTTTGCCTGTAAAACATTCTCCTAATATTTACACCTCTACTTCATCTCTGTCCTTTCCCTCCCCTCCCTCTTATTCTGTTGTCCCCCCACGCCTCTTCCCTCTTCTCTGTCTTTATGCACATTTTCTAAAGCCGTTGTACATGAAGGCGACTCCATGAAGGCCCGCCCTTTTCCCTCGCTGTGGAGTGTGTCGCCTCTTCATCCTCTCTGAAACTGGGAATGTTCACTGGCTCTGTTCTTATGGCGTGGTAGCTTTCTCAAGTTCTTTCGGCTAGATGAGAACGCGGGACTTTTCCAACACACAAATCATCCCCCTTTCCTAACAGATCTTCAAAATACAAGGATTAGGTAAGCTTTGGAAACTCTGTATCGTGTAGAAATGTAGCTGAAGGAGGGCCCAGAAATGGTAAGGGTTGTTAACCCTGGAGGGAGCTGGGGCTCTGAGGTCTGAGGCAGGACAGAGATTTGTTTCTTATATATATATATATATATATGTGTACCTTTTCTATGTATATATTTACCAAATGCATTTGTCATTGTTTTCAATCATTTTTATTCATCAAACAAGCTTGTATTTGGGCCTAATATAAAATGACCCCAATAAAAAGATCAAAGGTGTAACTTAAATTTCCTTTTTTATATCAGTTACCTGTTTACGTATAGATACCTATTCAGCCTCCCAATCCTTCCTCATTAAAATTTGGCTTTTACCCTTTTAATCATCAGTTCCTGCTCATGGGACTCCATGAGCACAGCTGGACCTACCAGTCCTTCTGGGCTTTCTCAGAAAAACTGCCTCAGGCCTCCACCCGGTGGGTGCAGTCTGGGCGTTCCTGTGGAGGGTCCAGGCTTCCCCAAGATGTAAGATGCTATGGCGCGGGGGTGCACTGCTCCCCCCTCGTGACCTGTGCTGTGGGGTTTTGTGGATTCACTGCTGTTTCAGGAGACGGAGGGGCGGGCGCAGAGAAGGCACCCACAGCCCCCATGTTTCTTGGGTCTCCCCATCGTCGACCTCGTCCCTTAGGATTTCTTCAGTGCTGGGCGCTGTGGAAGCAAAGCTGAGGCTGACCTGGAGAAGACGTGTACTTTATAGTCCCTAAAACAATTACAGACAGCTCATGTCTGCCAGGCCTAGCCTAGCGTGGACCAAGGGAACCTCCCAGAAGCCAGAAAACAAGATACCAAGCCAGGCCAGGTGCTGTCAGGCTTGAAACCAGGGTCACCCACGCCAGTCCTCCCCTCTCCCTCGCACACCTCTCTTCCTTCCCAGGGGGCTCCTGGCTTCTCTCCTCACGCCACAGAGGGATGGATTGAGGAAGCAGTGCTGGGTCTCATTAAGGATCTACCTGGCCTGGGCCCCACTGAAGCTTTGGTAGGAGAAAACCAAATACTCAAAAGAAGAAAGGGAAAAGGGCTGAAAGTTAGGCCGTTACAGTTGTCAGGATGACCCCTTTCTTGGGGTGGGCGTGTTCCGCTCTGCAGCACAGGCACCCAGAACCCCTCATTCCCTGTGTCTGGCAGAAGGTGCCCAGCTTTATTTCAGGCGCTTGTCTGCAAGCAGTGATGCAGGGACAGCTGACATCGGAAAGAGCTTGGGCACCACGTTACCGCTGTATCTGAAAAGCACACACACTCTGGTCTCAGGTGGCAGGCAAGCCTGTCTGCAGTAGCTCAGTACGGCCCTTTCCAATGTAGGCACATCCAGAGGCCGCATCAGCAGGCTTCCCTCTGACCTTCAAGCAAGACCACAGCGTGGAGACCCGGCACATCCGTGCACTGCTCTGGGACCTGGCGTACCATCAGCTGAGGGCCACTGAGTGGCAGAGGCTGGCGCGCTCGTGGGACTTCACAGAGGACCAGATCAGAGCCATTGAGGAGCAGTGGACAGGTGCGTGTGGCCTGGTAGTGGCCCTCCTGGGCCTCCCTGGCACTCACAGGAAGTGGGAGAGCCCAGAGGCCCAGCACGGGAACATTAGAGCAGCTCCACAAAGGGACTGGGAACTGTGCAGAAAGCAGTGCTCGCTGGAGTCTGCAGGGAGCTGAGGTTTGCAAAGGATGAGTACTCTATTGAGCTGCGCTGAAAAGGTGGCCTTTTGCCTACAAAGAACTAAAGCTCCCAACTGCGTGGGTACCAGGGAAGCAAGGACTTAACAGTTGGGCATGCCGCTGGGAAGCCAGCCCAATTTCTCCTGTCCCTTGCGATTGTCCTGGGGAAAATGGACTTGCTCTGCAGTCAAAAGGCTCATTATTTAGGGTCTCCAGTCCAGGAGGGATCCCTTTAGGTCAAGGGGGAAGAGGTTCTTGCAGGACGTGGCCTGGGAAGGGTTGGCTGTCCCGTGCATGAGAGACAAAGAGGATGCCGAGGATTCTGTGGTTAGATGATTCCAAGTCATCTTAGCTGGACCCCGGCTGGCAGAATTAGTGAGGGCAAGTCATCTGGGTTCCTTAACTTTTTTTTTTTTTTGTGATGCTGTGGTTCGAACCCTGGACCATATTCATGGTAAGCAAGTGCTCTACCACTGAGCTACATCTTGAGCCCTATTTTATTTTGTTATTTTGTTAGCAGAGGGTCTTGCTGAATTCCTCGGGCTGGCCTTGAACTTGCCATCTTTCTGCCTCAGCTTCCCAAGTAGCTGGATTATAGGTATGCACGACTACTCAGCTTGGCTAGCTCTGCTTTTTTATGATTTGACAAAAACCTGAGAAGTCTAGAGAGTTTTTGTTAATCCCTTCATTAACTTTAGAAACAAAGAAGCAGACTCTTTTGTTGGCAAAGCTTTCTTTTCAGAGCAGTCCCTTCCCAGGGACACTGTGGCCTCAGGAAAGCTGATTTGCATTTTATCCCTGGATTAGATGGCAGAACCACAGATCCATGCACAAAAATTCAGAAAACATCTTCATTTCGCATGAGTGCATTAGGTATGTCAGTTATAACACATGGTGGATTGAACTATGAAGATTCACATTAGACACAAGTGTCTGTTCGGATTCAAGGGTGTATATTATTTGTGTGTTGTGTCTGTACTCTGGTCACTTAGCAAAAAGTCTTGAGTTTATCTGTTTGCATAGGTGTTTATCTCTCATTCAAAAGCACCTGCTTCAGTATTTACAAATAATTATAATTTATATTATCATGTATTAATGTCAATATTATTTATACTTAACTATATATTAATTATATTACTATATAATTCAATATTGTGACTGACATACAAAATGTGTCCATCTGGCTGATGATCTTAGCTGGGGCTTATTTTTTGGTTTCTTTTTTCGTTTGTTTTTTTTTCCGGCACTGGGAATTGAACTCACAACCTTGCGCTTGCCAGGCAGGTGCCGTGCTGCTGAGCTAAATCCGCAGCCTGCTGGGGCTTATTTTTGGGGTCAGGCTTATATTACAAACATCCTGAAATGTCATGCTGGAGCTTACTTTCCAGTTAGGTCTTAGTTTTGGGGAAATATAGTAGTTTGTTGAGATTGAGAAAAGAACAGAGTATTTGCCCTTGCTGGAGTGCTGCTTCCTGCATGCAGGGTCCTCTCCCTGGACACCTGTCCCTCCACCCTGAGCAGCTCACTTCCTCCCGGTCCTCAGAGCTCAGGTCATCCTGAGGCATCTGTCTGTTTCTGCAAAGGGGCCTGTCCTGGGTTTGTCACTGTGGACACTGGGGGGAGTGGCAGTGGTATCTCTGTCTCCCTGTCCCGATACCTCCCTCAGCGTCTTCCAGGGCCAGGTGTCTGGGTGTGTTTGCTGAATGAATCACCCTGACCTGACCCAGAGGTTGCAGACTCACATCTTAGTGGCTGCTTTGAAACCGGTGGCAGAATGGCACCTGCCTGCTGTTCGAGGGTATGATTTACAAATTCCTGTGGCAGCAGCCCAAGGGAGCCTGTCAGACACAGATCTCACTCTAGACCAACTGAATCAGAAGCTACACATTAGCGAGGGGACGGGGAGGTTTGCTGGTCCCTGGACTCCTGGCTGTCATAACAGGAAGGAAGGTGCTTTGTTTATGTGGTATTGGGGATTGAACCCAGGGACCACACACATACCCAACCCTTTAACCATGTTTTGAGAAAGAGTCTTACTAAGTCACTCAGCAACCCTGCCTGGGCTTAAAGTTGCCACCCTCCTCCCTCAGCCTTCTGAAGTGCTGAGATTACAGGCATGTGCCCAGCTGAAATAGGTGCTTTGGGTCTGAGGCGTGGCCTGGCGGTGCCTCTTGCACTTTGCAGGAGAGATCCACATCTCGTTCAGGTTGGCCTTGCTGCCGAGGAGCACCGCGGCGGTCCGATCCCTTCTGTGTACCTGGGCTGTGGCTGGCACAAGCACCATGGATGCAAACGTGGGTCATCATAAAGCCTAGCCATGAGGGAACGGGGAGGTTTGCTGGTCCCTGGACTCCTGGCTGTCAGAACAGGAAGGACGAGTTGGAATTGAGATTCACCTGCATCTCCTGTGCTTGGCAGGAAAGGACAGCTTCCATGAGCATGGCCACAGGGCACTGCTCATCTGGCTGCATGGGGCCCTGATGACACAGCCTGACCCCGACAGACACCTGTACGTGGAGCTGGTGCATGCAGGCTTCCCGCGACTGGCTGGTGAGTTACAGCTTCCAACCCACGGGAGTGCCTCCCTTGTGGCTGGCCCTAAACTCACAGTGATCCTCCTGCCTCAGCCTCCTGAGGGCTGGGCTTACAGGTGTGTGCCACCACGCCTGGCTTCCCTTCTTGTTTTATCCAGGTGGTGCTCAGTGTCTGACCCCTGCTGGGCCTTCGGAAAAGCATGGGAGTTTCTGCCTCTGTCTTTTGGGGTGATAGGTAGGGTGGGGCAGAAAGGCTGACCACCTCCTGTGGTACAGGACTGTGTGGGACATTAAGAATGTCATGCTCAGCATGCCTGTGTTACCCTGTTGTGAGGCGCTGCAGTTTGGTAGATTTGAAAAGGTTACCACCAGGTTAAGCACCAAAGGCCAGACAGGCTGAGGTCATTGGTAAAAATCACTTTGCCAAAAGCACTGCTCACATCGTCAGGGAAGATTCTTTGAAGATCTCCTAGGTGAGGTGGTTTTAGAGTCCCACACAGCGCAGCGCCAAGTCCAGAGGCAGCTGCCGGTGTGTGGCCAAAGCAGCTTCACCTGGAGTTGCGAACGGTGAGTCAGACCGCAGACCTAGCGGCGTTTCTGACAGTGGGGCTCAGCCCTGACCTCTGCATGCGCCCAGCTTCCGTCCTTCCTGTGCGGTGTCCACCGAGGACAGCGGAGGGGCTCCCCTCAGCTTCCAGCCGGCATCCTGCCCATCGCTTCCACAAGGAAATAAAAACATATACTTGAAAGGGCTGTGTGGGCTTAGATGAGCAACTGTGACTGGCGCATGGCAAGTGCTTAAAAATGTCAGCTATTAATCAATAATGTAATCTTATCTTTTCCAGAAAAGATTCGTCAAGTCAAAAGCAAACCTGACTCAAGCTCCAGGAAATGTGCCATTTCATAAATGTGCAATTTCATTAAGAAATTATATTTATTTTTCCTCGATTTTTCTTTTTTGGGGGGACTATGTAGCCCCGGCTGGGCTTGAATTTGTGGCAATCCTCCTGCCTCAGTCTCCTACGTGCTGGGGTTACAGGCCTGTGCCATCATACCTCGCTTGTCAGGTTTTTCTTTTCTTTTCTGGTACTGATTGAGCCTAGGAGCTGTGCACTGAGCTTCATCTCCAGCCTCTTTTTATTTTTTTTTTATGGCAAGGTCTCACTAAGTGGCTGTGTTTCCCAGGCTGAGCTCGAACTTATGATCCATCTGCCTCAGCCTCCCGGAGTGCTAGGATTATGGGCATGCAACTCTGTCTATTTATGTTTTTACTCAGCACTTGGTTCTTTTAAATGCAGGTCCTTACTGCCATGCATTTCTTCCAGAAGTGCTGATTTTCCTCGCAGCTGCTCAGATGGCAGGGACAGGAGCCTGTAGTGGAGAAGGAAGGAGCAGCGTCACCATGCTTCCAACTGCTGCAGTTCTGTTCTTTTGGTTTTAGCCTAAGACAAGCTATGTGCTGACTTTCCTGTTTCTGTCTCCTGCTACAGCACACAGCAGCGTAATCCGGGAGGGCTTGGTGCACCATGTTTCAAACAACCGCCTGTGGGAGAACAAGGGTCTTACGGTGTATGGTTTGAAGTAGGTTTTGCAGCTTACTCAGCATGTGCCGTGGGCATGTTAATATTCACATTCTCAGGTCTATTGAACAGGGCAATGTCTGTTCCTTAGGGTGGGGGACCCCACGGGAGCCCTGACTTCGTGCCCCCACCATGGAAATCATGAACTGGGATTTCTCCTCAGCAAGAGAAACTGGGTTTCACGTTTGGCCACTGGCAGCTTTACATCCCGTGAGTGTGTAATGTGTACTCAGAAGAGATAAGAAGTATATACACACCAATTCTTTTTCATCTGTTGGTGACATAACTACAGGCCATTTGTACAATTTCCTTTGTGTCCTTTGGTGTATTCCAATTTTTCTGCAATGAACATGCAATTTTTGTAGTCTGAGAAAGTTATGGAATAAACATGAACCCCACTATCATTTGTACTGGTGTATGTGGACGTCCTCATACTTTATAGTTCTCCTTTCTCGAATTCTGACCCTAAAATGACAAGGCTTGCAATAAAATCATGAGCACTTTCAGTCCAGGGCTATCATCAGGAATTTATAGTTTACACCATTGTCATACTGATCGCCTCCACATATATAAAGCAGGTAATATACTCACAACACCCCAAAGAATTTTAAAAGGTATTGAGTGAAGTCTCATCTCCATCTATCCTTCAGTATGGCCAGTTTTTGCTGACCATACTAACTCCACTGCCAAATTTGAGTAAGTAATCTCTTTATGTAGAAATAAAGACACAGTCTTTAAAATTTTTATTTATTATTTTAAAATTTTATTTATTTATTTTTGGTCTTTTAAAACTGTGTAGTGTAAGCAGGCTTTGAACTCATGGTGATCCTCCTGCCTCAGCCTCCCGGGAGCTGGGATTATAAATGTGCACTACCACGCATGGCTATAAAGACAAGCTCTTGCTGGTTAGTGTTTTAACTGTTGAATTTATGTTAACTTAGACCAACCCTATTTGATGCTTTAGACAATATATAACATTTTTAGAGCTTAAAGCTAGAAAGATGCTTATAATATTAATTACAATATTCATATTTGCTTTAGTTTGTCCACATGGCCTTGGTTTGGACACTGAAAACTGTCCTAGTAGCAGTTGAGAGTCTTCTGTGCAACACCTTCTTTCAGGAGTGTAAATCTGGATCTGGAGCAGCGGGGCAAGGGAGTGGGCAGGGAAGGACATGGATGAGAGCGGGACAGAGTGGCCGTCGCTGGCTCCTCAGCTTCGCTGTGTGCTCAGGACATGCTCACTCACTACACACACAAGGGGCCAGCGGCCTTGCGTTCACACAGCGAGGCCTGGGGACTGGTCTGCGAGCACAGGGCGTCACTTAGGTCATGGTCACAGGGAGGCAAGACCAGCGTGGGTGACTGTTTGCCACGCTGTGGCTGGGCCAGAACCCAGAACAGTGTGGCGAAGCACCTCACACTCCTTTAGAAATGGCTGCTGCTTCTAAGGCTCAGGCCTAGGTCGACCTATTAGAAAATGGGATTTTGTTTGCCTTGATCACATGTATTTGCTGATGTCCTGCTACTGACGTGAGCAGCAAAAAAGAATTATTATCTTCAATTCAGCTACAGCATAGAATCCCATCGTGTTTAAGTGGAAAGAGACTTCAAGTTATTAAGTGCATCCCCTTTTGTTACAGGTTCCTAGCCAGATTCTTCAGAGTTTTTTTTTCTTCCTTGGGGGGGCCCTTGTGTATTTTAGGCAGGTGCTGGACCACTAACCTGTACCCCCATGCCCAGAATCTACTCTTATGTACTCTACAAGCACAACGTGAAATAGGTAGGTAGGGTCGGCAGATTTTACTCTTATTTCAGTGACGAGGATTCCATGGTTGGTTTAAGTGTCTGGCCAAGGACAGTTAGCCAGCAATAAAACCACTGGCAAGCAAGGCCTCTTCCTTCAAATCAGCTCTGCCCAGATAGTTTCTTCCTCCCCTGGAGCAGTCACTGCACAGCTTCTGCTCAGGACTAGGTCTTCGTGTTGCCTGGGTTGCACCACAGGACAAGTCTGGATGTGATGTGCGTACAGGTGTCAGGACTGTTCCATGCTAGTCTCAAGTGAGGCCAGAAAGAACATCCAAAATAGGGTCATTCTAACAGGAAACTCCTTTTTGATGTTTGTAGTGGATTGACAACTGGTGGCCAACTTATAACCCCCAGCTGAACTGAGTTAGCGTGGTGCTGGGTGTGGGAGGCCCACCTGGGGATTGTTGCCAGCAGCATAAAAGGCAGAACTGGAGAAGCAATTAGGCTGTTGGGAGCTGAAAGAGGCTGTTGGGAGCTGGCAGAGGCTGTTGGGAGCAGAGGAAAGGCTGCTGGAAGCACAGAGCTGTAAGGAGCTGTTGGTTGTTTTGGAGGAGCTCGTCATGCTGGCTTTCCTGATGAACTTGGCTGTTTTCATCCTCCAAGGAGCTCAGGACCTTGTCACCGAGAATGGCTTTGGTTCACTTTGGGGGAGCTCTCGTCTTCCCTCTGAGCATTGCTTCCTGGCTCTGGAGGGGAAGATGGTGCACTGCTCAGTCTCCTGAAGAAGCTTGTCACGTTGGCTTTCCTAATGGGAACTCGGCTTTCCTGATCATCGGAGGAGCTTGGGACCTCACTGTTGCTGAGGATGGCTGTGGTACCTTTTGGGGGAGCTCTGGTTCTTTTGAGCTTCGCTTCCTGGCTCCAGTGCAGATCCCTCAGCCTGCTAGCACAGACCCTTCATCCCTCTGGCACAGACTTCCTAGATTCCACCAGACCTATGGGCCCTTCCAGTGCAGATCCGTGAAACAGGTCTGTGTGAGAGGTTGTCGTAGGCTCTGGGCCTCCAGTTGGATTCGTGGGAGGCACTGTTATGGGCTCTAGGTCTTCAGCTGGGCTCATGCAGGACATTATCGCTGGATCCAGGCCCTCAGTTGGATTCTTAGTCTATAGTGTGTGGACAGATTTCCTGCACTCTCTTGTGTATGATTTTTTGGGTGACTATTATAAATAATCTTATAAAATATGTGTCCTGTATTATATTGTTCCCTTGCAATAAACCCCAAACTGTGACAATATTCCTATAACTCTTTTTGTGCTACTGTTAAACACTTTTCCCCTTTTCTTTTAGCATTAAAAATTATCCATAGGCATCAGTATTTCCCTTTATTTTTCATTGTTACACAAAAACGAAGATAATAAATCACAAAAAGCTGTGATAAAAACATCACAACTATTGTTCTTGGTCTCTAGCTTTTAATGTAAAAATATCTTAGTTTCTATTATTTTTAGTAATGCTTAAAGTAAAATTCCTTCTCAGATTTTCGAGTAAATTATAGCATAGTAACAATGGAATAACTTGCCTTTTAGAAATAATGTACAGGAAACAGGATTTCTATACTTTGATGATATAATCAATGACAACCTGAACATATTAAAAATAGTTTCTTTTTTAATTTAAAAAACTTTTACTTAATTGCTTAAATAAAAAATAACATTAAAATAATCTTTACATATAGTTATAAAGGGTGTTACAGCTTGAAAAAGTCTCTTGTAATTCTGATAAGATGAACATGATATACCTAGGATGTTCTCACAATATGGAAATGTTAAAAACTAAAGACTTCCAACCCTTGGTAAAACCAGAGGACTTAACAGACCTCACTGTGAGTGTAATCACTTCAATCAACCACTTTTATAGACTGAATGCTTGTGAGAGACTGGGTGTGGCTCGATCTGGTTCCGAGAGATCTGGAAGCTGAGGTACCGCTTTCGGGGTGAATGGCCCGTGGATATTTTGCAGCAGTTGCTTGAGGAATGGTTTGCTGAAAAAATAAACATGTGCTTGAGAACCTCATAAGATGATTATACTATCATTTCGTTATCTGTCATTTAACCCAATAAAACTTGTTAAGCATCCAGCAGACACCACAATGAGGCAGGTGAAACAGCCATTAAAATAAACAGGACGAACCCTTTCTCCAAAAGGAGCCCAAGTGCAGTTGGCCACCTGCGGGGCCACAATTGAATGAGCTGTATTTCAGAGCCGTGGGGCTGTTCCTCAAGGAGGATGCAGTGGAAAAGGCTTATGAAGGCTAAGCAGAGAAAGAAGCTTCATGGTGTGTGACAGACATCCCTGCCCAGTGTCCACCTTGAGCTGAAGTGGTGCACGGGGTCCAATCCTGGAGGACGTGGGAAGCCCCAAGGACCCAGGCTGGCTCTGTTTCAAACCAGAGCAAAGCAGAGGCCTCGTACTTCACCTGGTTCCCCTGAGAGCAGGTGAGCTTTTACGGTCACATACGCGTAGGTTTCCCCAGAAGCCTGGTGCTCCCTTACTGTGGATCACGACTTTCTAAGCAAGGAAATAACGAGATGTGGAGGACACATATCGAGGGGAGGACGTGCCTGCCCACCACCTCAGAGCACAGGGGGACGTCTTGGGTATGAGCACTGCAGTGTTAAAGCCAGGGCACGTCGGACTCAGTCCATAAGAGATGTGATCCAAAAATATGGTGAATGTTTACATAAAGTATTTTATCACAGTAAAAACATAGTGCCAATAATCCCCCTCAAAAGACTCTTCCTAGCTTCAGACACACGTTTCCCATCCTTCTGGCCACTTTCTGAAGCAGCTCCGGAAGTGCTCCTTTGGGAATGTTTTTGAATGGGTGCCTCTATGTCCTGAAACAACTCACAATGCTTGGGTCAATTTCTATCAAAACATCATGGTATTTCCACATCCAGCTGTTGACAGGATCCATACCATGTGACTTCTAGCTCTTCCTAAGGCCAAACTGATATGAAACGTAAACTTTTCGAATTGATTCAGGACATCAAGGTGCCATGGCAGCACAACTGAGCACACTCACGGCCGGACTTCAGAACTGCTCCGGAAAGTGGCCCGGACGCAGGGGCAGTGCGTTGGAAGTGAAGGCGGGCACTCTGAGGGGACTGGTGACAATATGTCTTTTACTGTAATAAATTTAAACAATGTAAACACTGCACTTCTTGCCCAGCCCTGTACACAGCACACGCACATGTATGGGTGATATACAAAAGGCTTTTCTTTCTCATCCGCAGCACAGCTTCCCATAGCCTGCAGCGGGATTTGTTATCAAGTTCTCAGTCACGTACACACGGGCTTCTATTAGGGTCCAGAAAAAGATCACGGGACATCTCTGTTTTAATTTACAATGCCATGTGAACACAGTTACCTCACAACATAAAATCTAAAAAGACTTAGAAAAAAAGGAATCCTAAACTCCTGCCTCGCCTCCACCCTTCTGTCTGGCCCTGGTGCTTACACCTCTGGTCTCTACCACACCTGGGGCTCAACTTCAAAATCAAGCCAGTTTCTGAGATTTAATCATCTAGGACGCACCTCGTACGTAGGGAGAAAAACTTAAAAATCACCTTTTTTTATTAATACTCTCACATACTGAGTAGACAGGAATGTTCTCTAATACTGAGGATTTGTGAAAGGGTACTGTCTTTTAAGACCAATCCTTAGTTCTCTAGTGATATGTTCTTGTTACTATTTTTAGATTTTACTTTGTGAGGTAATTGTTGATTTCCAGGGTGCTGTACGAAGTAAAACAAAGATATTTCATGTTCTTTTTCTAGTAACTTATAGTAAGTTAAGTTTGCTTATGGTTTTACAGTTTACAAATTGCTTTCATACATCTCTTTAATTCTCACATTATCTTATATAATCCTGAACCCAAAATAAGGGTAGGAGGTGAGTATTCTTACGATCTTATTTACAGAAGAGAAAGTGGAAGCTGAAACATTTCACTTGATTTGTAAATGTCACCAAGTCAATGAGGAGGAAACTGAAGCACTATCTCAGGTATTTTTGCTTATTTCTTTTTTAAATAATATATACCTTCCTTTCTGTAACAAATAGAACCTGATTTTTTAGAAAAAACTAGAAATATACTGACAATTGTACTGACAAAAGGAGAAGACTTTTTAAAAATGGGGATAAAATTAAAAATCATAAAAGTAGGGAATTTTTTTTTTTTGGTTTTTCAACACAGGGTCTCACTATGCAGTTCAGGCTGGCCTTGAGCTCACTTTGTAGCCCAAGCTGGTCTTGAACTTGCAATGATCCCCTGCTTCAGCCTCCCAAAGTGCTGGGATTACAGGTGTGCACCACCACACCTGGCAAAAATAGGGAAATTTTTGTAGTCAAATATCTGCTACATGAACGGCTGGTTCATGAGTGAATAGCTTTGTCTTAATTCATTATTCATTTTTACCATTTGGAGAACCAACACACTGATTACTCTTGGTACCAGATAATTTTTCCACTGGAAGAAACATTGTTTTGGAAATCAATATTTTAACAGAGGGAAGGCAGATGTCGCCCCACATAAGTGTCCAGACTGTGACAACAGTAAGGCCAGGGCAAGTGCCAGTCACATTAGATTCTGATCTCGAAATGGCACTGGAGGGCTTATTAGTCTGCAAACGCTCAGGAAAAGATTTTCTGACAACAGGTCCTCAAATGCGGACTCACCACTGTGACTGGATGGTGTTTCTCCACAACAACTGAGCTCATGGGAGGAGAAACCCCCATTATTGCTAAACTGCTGTTAATCCTGTTTTTTGAAGCAAAATCACACCTCCCTGTGATGCGGGCAGTAATTGTTCTTCCAGCTCTCTGCTGTGCTGAAGTCACAACTCTTGGCACATACTAAAACAAACAAGAAACAAATATCCGGTTGGTACAAAATCTATGAAAAAATAGAGATTACTTTTGATAGCTCAGATAGCACTTAAAATAATTGTATATTTACCAATTTTAATGTGGGGAAAAAAACTTAAAGCAAAAAGTAAAAACCAAATACTCCAAAACACCCCTGTAATCTTCATATATCTAGTATTGTATAAGATTTTAGGGATTTAAAAAAACTTCATTTGAAATAGTGACGGCTTCGCAGGAAGCTCGAAGACTGTGTGGAGAAGTCCTGTGTGACATCTGACGCCAGGTGGTGCTCGTGTCTGGTCTACGGCTCTTCAGGCCTATGTACATTCCTGTAACTCCAGGGCCACCGCGACAGACCCCTCCGGCACCACGAAGACACCTCGCGCCACCATTGCAGCCTCGCCCATCTCCCTCCCGCAACTCTGTCAGACACTGTCATTTTTGTGAACTCTTTGACCCTTGGGCATAATTAATAGTATCACTACATATATTCTTTTTTGTTCTGCCTTTTTTCTTCTCCCTTTATTAATATACTTTTTCAAGCATTAATAGACATGCTATAATTTTTAATGAGATGCTTTTCAGTGACCAACTAGTTTGTCTTTCTCAGTTATTTTCCCATTTTATATAACATATTTTGGTTAAAAAAAAAAAAAAGATTTTTCTTTTTTTTCTAACAGCAAAATGGTTTTACTATGAAGGCCAGGCCCAGTCAGACACCACTGCCAGATGTGGCAGTGCTGAACTGTAACATCTGGGGAGGGGTGGACACCATGCCATGCCACTGCTCTGCTGGTATATGCATCTCCTGGCAATCCCAAACCCAGCGTCGGGAAAAGAACTAAACAAGCAGAGTTTAAAATAAAAGCAAACCGTTTACTTGAAGGTGGGGAAAAAGGGAAGAGAGACTGAGAGACAGTCAGTTACTCTGGACAAGTAGGGAGTATTTGAAAGGGAAGTATGCCAACATTTTTTTTTTTAGTTATTTTTATAGGATATACTGCAAAAAATGGGACGATCATATCAAAAAGTGCTACCAGCTTTTACAGCTCTCTTGCTGCTCATTGACGGAAGACAAGAGATTACATTTACATCAGGAGTAGTGCATATGTCTACTCAGGCTTTTTCTCTTGAGACAGGCCAGCTACGTAGCCTAGTCTCGAACTCAGAGCAATCTTCTGCCTCTGTCCTGAGTGCTGGGATCACAGGCATGCACCACCACACCCAGCTAACTCTTGACTTTCTCCCCACTGTTCAAGTCCACCTGTGGCTCACTACATGTCTGCACTCAGCCACGAGGCCTGAGGTTGTCTACTGAAAGGAGCGAGCTCTGGGAAGGACGGCTCTGGGAAAGCCGAAGTGACAGCGCCCTCACATCCTGAGAGGGCCTGAAGGGAAACGCATTCAGTGGGGTTCTGCACTTCTTTGGAGTTCGCAAAGACTCTCCCCTGCACACAAAACTAGGCAAAGATGAAAATGAAGTGAGTGTAGGAACAAGAGCCCCTATGGTAGAGGAAATGCAGTCGCAGTATCCGTTCGTGGCTTAGCTGGGTCTACAGTCATCGCCATGGCCCATCTATTGTCAGAACGGCTGCATCTAAATAGCTATCTAAGTGCGGCTGCGGGGACAGGAGACCCCGGGACGTGACACCAGAAGGCCAGTGCTTTCGTCCACACCAGGAAACCAGCAGATATGACACATGCTAGCAAATGTGGCGCAGATGACATGACCGCGCTATTTAGGAAAAGAGGATAAACAGAAGAAACCGCTCACAGAGTTTAGAAAGAAAGACACAGACTACTGTTTCTCACTCTAATTCTTACAGAAATTACTTGCCTTTAAAAACTAATAACTTACGGATCTTATAAATCTAAGAAATCAAATGTCAGGTTTTAAAATATTTGCAGATGTCATCACGGACTAAACTAGTTTCTGACTGTAGGAAAACTTTCTAACCTTTTTTTTTTATTATAAAGCTATGTACAAAGAAGATTTTATAACTAATGAAGTTTTTGTTTTGTGGGCAGTAGGGATTGGGCCCAGAGCCTCACACATACTAACCATGCATTCTAACAATGAACTACCCTCCTTGTTCCCTGATGGAGATTCTTTAACACTGTTCTGAAATATAAAATTAGTGGCTGACAAAAAACTTCTTTGCCAGTAACTGAAGACTGAAGTACAGTGGGGCTCGCACCCTTACCCTGCTCAGCCCACTGAAGGGAGTTCATGCTCTTCTCTGTCTCTCTTCCCTTTTTCCCCACCGTCAAGTAAACGGTTTGCTTTTATTTTAAACTCTGCTTATTTAGTTCTTTTCCCGACGCTGGGTTTGGGATTGCCAGGAGATGCATATACCAGTGGAGCAGTGGCATGGCGTGGTGTCCACCCCTCCCCAGATGTTACAGTTCAGCACTGCCACATCTGGCAGTGGTGTTTGACTGGGCCTGGCCTTCATAGTGAAACCATTTTGCTGCTGGAAAAAAAATAAATTTTTTTTTAAAACCAAAATATGTTTTATAAAATGGGAAAATAACTGAAAAAGACAAACTAGTTGGTCAGCAAGGGCGGGGCAAACGCTATGGCTGGCAAACACCCACCCATAATGGACAGCCAGCCCTCAACCCAGCTGAGAACTGCTTTAGATGCCTTCAGTAAGAAGCCAATACACACTGCAGTAAAAAAGGATTTTTAAAAGATAGTCATTTCAATTGAACAGAAGCTGTCTTAAATGACGCGTGTATTTACCAAGAGGCAGCTGCTTATTGTCAGATGGTTTATTACTTGTACTTGCTAGTAATACTTATGCAACATAATCAAAATTGCATACAGTAAACTGAGGACTGACTTTTAAAAAAATCAATATGCACATTTTAGGAATATATGAAGAAATGTTATTGGAAAAACTGCTGCTAATGAGGAGGAAAAATACCTAGCAGGTTTCTATAATCAGATAGCTTTGAAAGTTTTGCTAGTTCACACTGTGCTTTACAGAAACGCTGGAAAATAGAACATACATCAAGTGTGGCTGCACATCAAAACTGGCAAGTCAATACACGTGTTAGGATACAATGCTAAGTAAGGATATGTACATCATTTAAAGAAATCATTCTTTGCTTTAACTGAAGTTTTGGGCAAATGACCACTTACTGGTGCCAATCATGTTAGAGATCATTAAACTTATCAGCTGACCAGACTTTAAAAATAAAGATTCTAGCATTTTTCCCAACCTTTCTTGGTATTTCGCTGTCAACGTAAACAACAAAATCAAAAGGAATGGGAAAAGTTCTGACTGTTCACAGGAACACATGAATATTTGCATCTTAGTAGATGAAAGGGAGATAACATAGAGTTGGGTGGGAAAACAGAACTCTGAGGTCAGACTGTCAAACTGGAATTCTAATTCTCTGTTACTACGTCCACAAGCAAGTTACTCTCTTTAAGCCTCAATCACTTCATTTGTGAAACCTAGGAAGCATTACCAACTGCTTAATGATACCTTATCACTTTTTGTTCTGATAAAAAGAAAGGCTAGAAAAGTAATCTTGCTAACTAGCTCTACCATGTAGCTTTAAAGTCCAACTAAAACTATTGGACCATTTCTCTCAACTATTCTGGTTAGAAAGAGAGTACAGCGCCATCTATTGTTCAGCTTTGCAAACTGCAACATATTTGCTTGCACACCTGCCTAACCTATTTTTTTGAAACAGGTTTTCCACCATGAAATTCTGACATTTTCTTTAACATACTGAGAATTTCTGCAGAAAAGAAAACAACTCTACAGATGATGATATTACTTAATTAGGATGGCGATCCACGCTCCAGTTATTTTCAATTCTCTGCACTTTCTGCACATACTTCCTTTCAGCTACCAGAAATACCAAGATGTCCATAGGAAGCTTCTGTGATTGCAAAGACAAGAAAGATAACGAGGCCAGGATCACAAATCTTACTTCCCTTCTGCTCCACCATGACTGGTTTGACATTAAGTTAGCCAACGAATGAATTTGTTCTTTTGCTATTACAGTTCTTTTTAAAAAACCAAGAAGACATACTTGGGGTACACTTGTGTGTTAATTATAAAAGAGAAAGCAAGCTAGCATGACACTCGCGGGGAGATTTACTTGATTCTCCTCTGTCTCTCGAGGCTGCACTCAGTGGAGGAAACAATGCACATCTGCTTTTGAGGGGTGGGCAGTATGTGGGAGGGGGGCGGATGGGGAAGGGCTGTTCATACTTTCTTTTTGAGACAGGGTCTCACTAGGTAGTGCAAACTGGTCCTGAATTCACTATGTAGCTCAGGCTGACTTCAGACTCTACAATCCTCCTGCTTCAGCTTCCCAAGTGCTGGGATTACAGGCACACGCCACCACAGCCGGTCAACACTGTTTTTTATAATACGAAGACTTCGGAATTACTTCAAGTATTCAGAAATACTTCAGAATTACTTTCAACTTTAAAAAGTTGGCAACAGAGAAAGGGTGGTGAGCTAGCACTTATTTTTTCCCTATGTATATTCAGGTTTACATACAAATGAGGATGTACTGCTATAGTTATATTCTAAGAAGGAAAATGAAAAATTTGAGATGTGTGTATTATCTGCATATGTGACATGAATGAGAAACCAGAAATTTAAATAAACACTGAGATCAGCTCTATAGTGTAACACTTCAAAATGTGTAATCATGGAAAATAAACACAGCTGAACATGTGTTAGGGTTGAATTTTAGTATCTTATTTCTAAATCAAAACTCCCCCACACATTCAAATTTCTCTTAATGGCCATGTGCTACATATATATATGCCAGAACGAACATAGTAAGTAGCAGGGCTCGACATATTTTTCTCCAAAGTTAGTAGCTCTCAAAGGGCAGAAACTGGAGTCAGCTAGCAGCCTAAGGAGGAGCAGTTATCTTTACTAAAGAAGCTGCCCAGGGTCGTGGGGCTTCAGACCTCACGCTATCACCTTTCCTCTGAGGTCAGTGACCGGGAATCAGGAGAATCACTTCATGACACCCTGTGCCTTTGTGCCAGAGCCGTGCCAGAGCAGAGACAAAGGCCAGAGTCCTCTGTAAAAAGTCCACAGAAGTGAGCCTGATAAGCTGGGCTATGCCCCGTTCCCGCTCCATCCCCTCCCGAGAAACGCCGGAAAATATCTGTCAATAGCATAAGCCCAGGGGTCCAGTCAGGACGTGCTTTATCTACAGCTTAGTGCGTTCCCCCTCCAGCCAGTTTCGCACGTACGCGAGCACGCGTGCGGGCGCACACACACACACACACACACACACACACACACACACACACACACACACACGCAGTCTCACTCAGGACCCTCCCCCAGGCACGTCTCTAACAGCGGCTCAGGGACCATAGGAAAAGTTATCGCGTTTTCATCCAGTTATGAGTGAAAGGTTAGAACCTAGCCAGGGTGGAGTCACAGAGCAGCGTCACGGTGCGCCTCCACCCCAGGAGAGGGCAGCGGTGGGCGGAAGAGCGAGCCTGCGGCTAGGGGTACCCTAACCTCCTGGGTCCTCGAAAACTCCAGCTAAGCCGCTTCGACCTGAGAAAAAGTCTACCCTCAACTCCTACTCCAACCTGTTTTTGGAGGTGTCTGAAAAACGTTAGTGAAAAGCTCTTTATTTTTATTTGACTGTCACTCCTCCGACAGCGCTGGCGGCTGCTGTTTCTCACTACAAATCAGTGTGTGGCCGCTCTGCCCGGAACGTCTTCGTGGGCTTGCCCCGGACCGCACAGACGCTTTCTCCCCAGAACAGCGCTGTGAACGAAAAGTACGCAGGAGGGCGCGGGGCGCAGCTCGGCACAGGCACCTGCGGGCTTGCGCGGCCCGGGCCTGGTCCGCGTGCCGCACACGCACACAGCCATAAACACACCGCCACGGCGGAACCTCCGTTTACGACATCCCGCCCCGGCGCGGACCTACTCACCGCCTCTCCGGGCGCAGCGGGGGGCGCCGGCCCGAGGGCGCTCCCAGACGGCGCGGACGCCGCGACGGACGTGACGGTGACGGAGGTGGCGGAGGGCGCTGCGCTGGCGCTGGCGGCCCCGGCCGGCCCTGCGGGTGGGGACGGCAGCAGCTGCCCGAACGCCGCGGGCTCCAAGTGCGCAGAGTGTTCTCTCCCGGGAACACCGGGGCCGTACTCCTCCTTTTTATTATTTGTGAAGTCGGTCCCTGTAAATCACAAAGTCAGCTCGTTAACATTCCCCCCAAGGGAAATTTGTGACCCCAAGGCTACTGTTCTTCCCCAGTAAAAACATAACGGTTCGAATCTGATCCTAACAAAAACTGGAGTCACCGGGGTCCACTATTTTTTCAGTTAATGCAGCTTCTCATATTAGCCAGTCAATGTCACTGTTCCCCACCAAAACTTCAGACCACCTGCTTCAAGACGCAGGAGCAGGGCCTTGCTAGTGTACGGAAGAAAAAGTAGGGACAGCACCAAGACGGCCAGTGGCGAGCAGCAGAGAGACCCTGAGCGTCACGGTCCAGAGGCCGGAGTACAGCACGCGAGGACGACAAGAGGGAAGGGGTGCCCTGGAACCAGGAAGGATCTGAAGCATGAACTGAAGCCCACGGAGAGAGTGAAGAGAGAAACTTCCACAGAGGAGAAGGTGGCCGGTGGCGCCTTCTCCCGGAGGCGGGGCTTACTGCGCCCCAGCACGCCGCCACTGCCGGCGAACCGAACCCGGAGGCCTCCAGAGACGCCGCAGTGGATGGGAGCGGCGTCTCCCTCAAGTCAAGGACAGCTGGAGTGAAGTATTTCAAGTTCTAAAGGAAAACAACCTTCAACCCCGACTGATGTACCCCGCAAAACTATCTTTCGAAACTGATGGAGAAATAAGATACTTCCATGACACGGAACATCGGAGGAAATTTGTGACCCCAAACCAGCACTCCAAAATGTTTTGAAGGACGTTCTAGAAAGAGATAACGAGGACTACAACTCCACGAACTCCAGCAGAAGGAATCCACCAGGAAAGACAAACAATTAAACAGAAAGAAAAAAGAGTGGGACCCAACAACAGAAAAATAACATGACAAGAGTAAGTCAATACATAGCAGTTATAACCATCAATGCTAATGGTCTCAATTCACCAATCCAACACAGACTGGCAGAATAGATCAAGGAGCAAGATCTAGCATTACGCTACATACAAAAAAAACCACATTTAATTCCAAAAGAAATTCATAGGCTGACAGTTAAAAGATGGAAAACAATACTACATGTGACAGGAACCCACAAGAAAGCAGGGATAGCTATTCTATTTGCAAGACAAAGTGAACTGCAAGCCAAGACTGATTAAGAGAGACAAAGAAGGCCACTGTATCCTTGTAAAGGGAACAATCCAAGAGGGAGAGATAACAATCACAAATACATATGCAATACCAGTGCACCCAACTATATAAAACAAATATTAACACACCTGAAAAATCTCAATACCCCACTGTCACAAAAAGATCAACTAGACAATCAACAATGAAATATTAGAACTGAACCAGACTTTTGAACAAATGGACTTAGTAAGTGTCTACAGAGTGTTCCACCCCACAATATCAGAATACACATTCTTCTCAGCTGCACACTGGACGTTCTCCAAAATAGACCACATACTAGCTCAGAGAACATGCATAGGTAAATTAAAGGAACTGAAATTATCCCGTGCATATCAGACCATAGTACAGTGAAACTGGAAATCAATGGCAAAAGAAGCCACAAGAACGTCATAAACACATGGAAACTGAATAGCACCCTCTTGAACAACGAATGGGTCATGGAAGAAATGAAAGAAGATATTAGGCAGTTTCTACAATTAAATGAGAATACAACGTATCAGAACTTCTGGGACACAATGCAAGCAGTCCTAAGAGGGAAACTGATAGCAGTAAAAACCTGTACCAGGAAAACAAAGCAAGTGCAAATAAACAAATTAATGGTGAACTTCAAACTTCTAGAAAAAGAAGAGCAGGCTAAGCCACAAGCTTATATAAGGAGGAAATGATAAAGATCAGAGCAGAAATTAACACATCAGAAACTAAAAAACAATACAAAGAATCAATGAATTGAAGAGTGGGTTCTTTGAAAGATTAAATAAAATCGACAAACCCTTATCCAACCTTATCAAAAAAAAGGAAAGGAAAGCCTCAAATCCACACAACTAAGAATGAAAAGGGTAAAATTACAATGGACCCTGAAGAAATCCAGAAGATCATCTATACCTAGTTTGAAAACTTGTATTCTAATAAGATGGGAAATGCAGAAGAAATGGAGATTCCTAGATACATATGAATTACCAAAGCTGAATCAAGAAGATATAAAAACCCTAAATAAACCAGTATCAATCAATGAAATCAACAATGTAATTAAAAACCTACAACAAAGAAAAGCCCAGGCCCTGATGAATTCTACAAGAAATTTAGAGAAGACCTAACACCACTACTTCTTAAATGCTTTAATGAAATTGAAAGGGAAGAAGCACTCCCAAAGTCATTCCTGGAAGTACGCATTATCCTGATACCAAAACTGGAGAAGGACGCAACTAAGAGAGAGAATTACAGGCCAATCTCCATAATGAACACAGATGCAAAATCCTCAATAAGGTACTAGCAAACAGGATGCAGCAAATCACCAAGATTATACACCGTGACCAAGTGGGATTCATCCCAGGGATGCAGGAATGGTTCAATATACATAAATCGATAAATGTAAGACACCATATTAAGAGAGCCAAGGACAAAAATCACATGATCATCTCAATAGATGCAGAAAAAGCTTTGGACAAAGTCTAGCACCCATTCATGATAAAAACCCTATGGGAAATTGGAATAGATGATCTTTATCTCACTCTGATCAAAGCCACCTATGACAAACCAACAGGCAACATCATACTAAATGGACAAAAATTGAAGGTGTTCACTCTAAAATCAGGACAAGACAAGGATGCCCACTGTCTCTACTCTTATTCAACACAGTCCTGGAAACTTTAGTCACAGCAATTAGACAAGAGAAAGGAATAAAAGGAATAAGGATAGGCAAGGAAGAAGTTAAATTATCATTATTTGCAGATGACATGACACTCTACATAAAAGACCCCCAAAACTCCACTAAAACACTGCTAGACTTAATAAGCAAATTCAGTAGCATAGCTGGATACAAAGTCAACATTCAAAAATCAATAACCTTTCTGTACACGAATAACATGCTCACTGAGAGAGAAATTAGGGAAACAATACCTTTCACAATAGCATCCAAAAAAATGAAATATCTAGGAATCAACCTAATGAAGGATGTAAAAGACCTCTACATTGAAAACTACAGTACTTCAAGAAAGGAGATTGATGAGGATATCAGAAAATGGAAAGATATCCCTTGGTCTTGGGTAGGAAGAACCAATAGAGTGAAAATGGCCATACTCTTAAAACAGTTTTAGTGCAATTCTGATCAAAATTAAATAGCATGTCTCACAGAATTAGAGAAAACAATCCTAAAATTCATTTAGAACCAGAAGACCTAGAATAGCAAAAGCAATTCTGGGCAACAAAGGGAAGGCTGGGGCATCACAATCCCCAACTTGAAATTATACTGTAAAGCTCCTGTGACAAAAAAAAAAAAAAAAAAAAAGCAAAGTACTGGCAAAAAAAAAACAGACCCAAAGATCAATGGAACGGATTAGAAGGTGCAGAAACAACTTCAGACATAAGAAGCTACCTTATCTGTGACAATGGTGCCAAACATATTCACTGGAAGAAAGACAGCCTCTTGACTATACGGTGCTGGGAAAACTGGCTCTGCACATGCCAAAGATTAAAACTGGATAAAATTGGACTCTTATGTTTCACCATGCACCAAGCTAAATTTGAAGTGGATCAAAGATCTAAATATTAAGACAGAAACATTAAATCTGCTGGAAGATAGAATAGGTAAAACTCTTGAAGGCTTTGGTGTAGGCAAAGACTTCATGAATAAAATCCTGATTGCACAGCAATGTTCACAAAGATTCAACAACTGGGATCTCATCTTATTAAAAAGTTTTTGCACAAGATGAGAAACCAGCAACAAAGTGAAGAGACAACCCAAAATGTGGGAAAAAATGTTTGCCAGCTGTTCCTCAGACAAGGGATTACTGCTGAGAACTTATAAAGAACTAAAAAATCAGATCTCCCAAATTTATAGACCCAATCCAAAAATGGGCATCTGAGATGAACACACAATTCTCAGATGAAGAAATACAAATAGCAAATAAATATATGAAAAAATGTTGAACATCACTGGTCTTTTGAGAGATGCAAATTAAAACACTGAGATTCCATCTCACCTAGGAAAGAATGGCTATCATCACGAAATCAACCAATAATAAGTGCTGGAGGGGCTGCGTTGTTTGTCCACCTTCTAATCCATTCCACTGATCTTTGGGCCTGTTTTTTTGCCGGTACTATGCTGTTTTTATCACAGGAGCTTTACAGTGTAATTTCAAGTTGGGGACTGTGATGCCCCAGCCTCTCCCTAGTGTGAGAAGCATTCTCCACTGTTGGTGGGTATGTAGACTGATACAACCACTGTGGAAATCAATGTGGCAATTCTTCAAAAACTAGAGTTGGATGTCCCATTCGACCCAGCTACTCCCCTTCTGGAGATCTTCCCAGAAGAATTACATAAACATCATACCACAGCTATATGTGCATTCATGTTTACAGCAGCACAATTTGTAATAGCTAAATCTTGGAAACAACCCAAATGCCCATCAAATGAGGAATGGATGAAAAAGATGTGGTCATTTTATACAAGGGAGTACTACTCAGCCATAAAGAAGGATAAACCAAAGACTTTTATAGGTAAATGCATGCAACTCGAGACCATACTTATAATGAAATAAACCAGACATACATGTCGACATTGTATTGTCTCCCTAGTGTGAGAAGCTGAAAGAGTAAATAAGATCCGAAATGTACAATAGGTATTGTAAAATGGGAAGAAACTTCAAAAGGAAAGAGAAACTGGGATGGGGTAATGGAGGAAAGAAGGAAGAGAAAAGCAAAAAAAAAGATATATATATATATGTGTATATATAAATATATATATGATAGTTAAGATAGTTATAAAAAAGACAGTTATAATACTAATTTCTCTTAGTTCATTGAAAAGAAAGGTTTGTGCTGATATTGTTTGGACAATTAAATGCTGATCTCTTGTACTCTGAGTAACTAATTCAAAGATAACGATATACAATGTACTAACCATTGCTACCTTCCTATTGTCTTGTTTTGAAATTTTGTTTTTTTCCTCTTTAAAAATAAAAAAAATTTAAAAAAAAGATAAAATAAATTCGGTGTTCACTGGAACCTGAGGTAGGTGTACAGCTGTCACACTATGACGGTGATATACACGGTCACACAGAGCCTAAGGGCCTGTGTCCTTCTGCACTTCACACTGCTCTCCTGGTAAACGCCATGCATTTGGATCTTTGGAACTATTTTCTAGAATCACCATACCCCTTCTTATTTCCATATATTGCTACTAGCCTAGCAAAAACAGTGTATTTTTATTCTGCACTTTTTAACAAATAGTAATAAATCAATATAGTACTGTAACCATCATTACTTTTGACACTGTAAAAGAAATGGGTTTTTAAAAAATTTTTTTTGTTTTTTTAACTGGGGTCTCACTATGTTGTCCAGGCTGCTTTTGAATTGCTGGGTCATATGATGCTCCTGCTTCAGCCTCCCAAGTAGCCGAGACTACAGGAACTTAACACCATGCCAGGCAAGAAACGTGTTCTTGGGCTGGGGATGTAGCTTCACGGTAGAGCACAGACGAGGCCCCAGGTTTTTTTTAAGTGTAGCAAAAGTTTACTGTGGAATAGGAATAGCTCCTGAGAGACAGGAGGGCTCCCGAGTGGGCTGCCACTGGGGTCCTTTGTCAGGGCAAATTTATACAGCAAAGTCACAATGTGGGTACAACATGGGTCAAACTAAACTCAACCTATAGGATCACACATACAGCGGCTTAATAATATTAATCCAATAGGGAAGCGGGGCATGCAGCAAGGCTGTATGGCTGGTGTCATTACTTGGGCTTATCTATGACTTCTAAAACAGAACTGTTTGGGAAGGGATGGGTCTAGGTGCTCTGCTCACCCACCCATGTGTCTGATGAGTATCCAGGCTTAATGGACTGGGTGGCACTAATTACAGCGGAGTCTCAAGTTCTGCTTATCCATAGCGAAGCATGTTGTCAGAGGCCCTAGGTTTGATGTTCAGCACCCCCTACCCCTAAAGGTTCTTCTAGTTAGACTGTATGAATCAAGAATAAAGAGCACATCTACACATTTAACTGATCATAGGGACACTGCACACAGCAACTGTCTGTCACAGCTGACGTGTACCCTTGATTTAAGGATTGAGGGGAGTCCGGTGCAGTAGTGCATGCCCTAGGGATGCTGAGGTCGGAGGGGTTGCAAGCTTGAGTCCAGACTGGGCAATGTAGCAAGGCTTCATCTCAAAATTAAAATTATAAAAGGGCTGGGGATATAGCTCAGCACAAAGGCCCTGGGCTCAATCCCCCATCCCACACACAAAGGAGGAAATGGTGTCAGCTTCCCTAACCAAGGACAAAGGAGTTCTTCCATTTCAGATTCATTTCTCCCTCTGCGTTAGAATGTGGTTAGTTTCCACTTACGACTACATCTCTCTGGTACCCAACAGCAGAGAGGTTTGCAAATTCAATGAGCTGTTTCAGAATACTGAATAGAAGATATTATTTTTAAATGCTTTTCTGGATTGTTTTCTTTTCATCCAAAAATTTTGGCTTATGCATTAGTCCTTTTCTTAAACTATTTGTGTATGAAAGAGTTATAGTAACCTTGCTAAAAAAGTTTGATGATGGTTACAGTGCCTAGAACCTTTGAAATCCTCTGATGAAAGGGTCTAATTCACTATAAAATAGCACCGCTTTTAATGTGAAAACAAAACAACATGCACACACACAGGGTTTTAACATATTTTTTGATGCAATGCATTACTAAGTATCTGGCTTTTGGTGGTGGCAAACATTACCAGTACAGAACTGATACAGAGATCAGACCTGGTCATGGGACACCGTGGAGGAGGGGCAGGTGACCCACTCTCCCTAAGGTGGGCTCATTTATTGGTTTTCCGTTTATGAGAGAAATGTTAGGTTTAATAGGAATTATTCCTACTTTAATGGGGCAGCTTTTCACAGTTTTAAAGTATTTTTCTACTGTGCCTAAAATAGCTTGAAAAACTGGCAGGTATCATTTTAAGGTCATTTTTTATAGCCAAACTCTGCCTTCTTCATAAAAACCTCCGATTTATAATTCACAAGATTTGAGATTAACACATAACATGAGGCTTGCTGGAGATTACACACAGCAGAGGACCAGGACAAACAAAAATAATTTAATAACTATTTAATAGGACTGGTATATTAAGGCAGCTTGCATTATTTAAAAGTGCACTATAAAAAAACAACTGTTTTTTTTCTCTTTCTGTACTGGGAATCGAACTCATGACCTTGGGCTTGCCAGGCAGGTGCTGTGCCGCTGAGCTAAATCCCCAGCCCAAAAACAGTTGTTTTAATAGGAGGGACCCAGAAGTAATTTTTTTTCTTATGAGAATTTAAAAATTAAAATAGCTGTCAATAAGATGTTACAAAATCTACATATACCATGAAGCATAGCCAGCATTAGATTACATTGAGCTTTTGCCTTTGGTAGCTCCACTAACATTACTGTAGTGTGTATTTCATAATTTTTGTCCTCTTTATCACTCATATTTATGGTAAGTAATGCCCCAGGTCACTTAAAACAGTTGGGTTCTCAGAGATAGCACTGGCTACATATGACAGAAGACTTCAGAATAAGTCTTAAAAGGAATAAAACAAATCAAGCTGTATAACTGTCAGAATACATTCTCTTTCTATAAATCTTGTTATGTATAATGGCCTGTAGGAGACAGATCTGTATTTGAATTTAAATTTTAAGATGGTAAACTTACAAGGCAGCAAAATATTCTAAGTAACCTTATCACCTTCTTAAGTGAGAAAGTTTTTTGTGATTGAGTGTCATCAGTTCTAGTGGGACTTGCTGCTTATAAAACCCAGCATCTCTTCCAAATAGACAAATCCTCAATTCAGTATATGCAACATACCAATAATTAGAGCTGAAACAGACCAGTCTATCATTGAGGGTGATGAGTTGGTCTTCAGCACTGATTTTCAAATAAGACCATTTACTGGAGAAATCAAGTTCTTATTGGAGAACTCAAGTTCTTATTTGAGTACTGGCAAGATAAATAATTCAGCCTTGTGGTTCTATGATTACAAGTTTCTAACCTGCAGATGGACCACACACCATGACTGCTTCTCGCAGAACAGTGATGGTGAACCTTTTAGCACCTTCAGTGATAACAGACAGCTGATAACAGATAGTGGTAACACGTGCCATGGGCTCACCACCACTCTCACAGAATGATCTGCCCACACTGTCACCAAAACATGCACAGTTTAGATATTACATGTCTTTTGGTGCCATAAAATGGGTGCACAGCAAGTGCAGGGAAGTTGTTCATAGGACTGAAATCATTTAAGAATGTCACACAATGGAGCTGTCTCAATGATGAGAAGGCCGAGTCCAAGAGGGTTTTATATGAGGGAACACGGCACAGACAGTCACGTATTTCATCTGAAGCTTGGGAGGCTGCTGGAATTAAGACAATAATTACATCTTATCAGCTACATGTTAGAGTACGCTTTGTTGTTTAAAGTTCTTTTGTGGATTTCACTGTGCAAAGAACCCCTCTAAAGCAGGCTAGTAAGGTGTACATCATCTGCCTTCTCTGGAGAAAGAATCTAAGCTGTACATTGGCTGCAAAGGGTTCTGGTCATGTGCCTTAAGCCATGCGGACAAAACCACTACATGGACACTCAGACTCCAGGCAATGTAAAAATGTCATTAGTTCTTTTCTTTGGAGACCAGGTCTCACTATGTAGTTCAAGCTGGTCTTGAATTCATTATGTAGCCATGCTGGCCTTGAACTTGCAGTGATCCTCCTGCCTCAGCCTCCTGAGTGCTGGGATTACAAGAATGCAACACCATAACCAGTTGAAATGTAGTTAGTTCTAACAGGACTTTTTAAAAATAAAATTATTTTACTGACTTCTATAAATATGCTTATATCTAGATTTGTTGAAAACGAGTTTAATTAAGACCTTTTTCAAATTGGAAGAAAAGTTCCTTTTAAAGTGGGGAACAATGAATAGGTGGGAAATATTTGGTAAATAAAACAGTCCAAGGAATTTGGATATTTAGGAAAAATAGAAATTTCATAGTTAGAGGTATTAAAATTACTAGTTAAAAGAAGCTTAAAATAATGTTCTACATTAAAAGTATTACTGTAACCTTTAGCTTAATTACAAATTGACAGGTTACCTGATCTGATCTAAGTAACATAAGTAACTGTAACTGAGCTAAATTTCATGGTGGATTTAAAGCTGAATATGACATCGTGACATTAAACAGCGCCTCGATGAGATATATCCATCACAGATTAGTACTGCAGACCGTACTGATCCCTAAAATTGTCTTGAGTTCTTTTCTGAAAATAGCAAAGAATCTTCACTACCAACCTGCATCATTTCTGTTTTGAAATATAGTCATGGCTTCTAGATTTAATGCGCACACCCCCCTCATGAATGCTTTCTTCATAGAATCTTCAAAGTGCTCTTTCTCTTGTTGCATTCTCTGAATCTCAGCTTTCGCATTTTCCAAAGCTCCTGATAACTAAAATAAAGATAATTTGAAAAAAAAATTTGAAACACAAGAAACAGTATTACTGCTAAAAATATAGACATACTATGATGTTATTCTTATACAGAAGAATAAAAACAGTTTCCCATGTACCTCTTGTGCTATCTTATTTAGTTGTATTTTATGCCCGAGGTTTCCATCAACAAACCATTTTCAGTCCTAACCATAAAGTCAGGGCTCAAATAAGTAGAATTTTATACCAGTTTCACTGAAGATTGTCAGTGTAATTTTTTTTTTTTTTTTTTTTTTTTTGAGACAGGGTTTTGCTGTGCAATGCAAATTGGCCTTTCGGCCTTGAATTCACTTGGTAAATCAGGCGAGTCTGTAACTTGCAGGGATACTCCTGCCTCAGCCTCCTGAGTGCTGAGATTAACAGGTATGTGCCACCATACTTGCCTTGCTGTCAGTGTATTTTTGCTACAGCAAGCAGAAACACTGAAGCAACACCCAGGATTTGGAGGCAGATTTATCTATGTTGATGAGCACTGATCAGGGTCATTACGAAAATGTGAGGGCCCGATTTCTGGTGGTCTAGGGCTTATGAGATAAGCAAGCAGGAGGTACAGAGCAGAATGGCTTGGCAGTTGGGATTGGTTCTTACAGTGTGCATCACAGTGACCAGCTGTTTCTAAGAAACAAAAGTAACAGGAACTGCAGCTGGAACTATTACCTGGGCAACTATCAAACTGAAGTGTACTACTTGGGGAGGGGGTGGGAGCTTCTGCTACATTTTCATTATACAAAAATGTCATTTTTACCACAAAATTTTTATGTAGGATACTGAACAAAATACATTGATTTACATGAGCCACAGTTACCTCTGATCCGCTCAGGAAAAAAAAAACCCTAAACATATTTATAGAATTTTTAGAAAGTGAATGCTATCTACAGAATTTAAAGTGCAGAGTGGATTTAGGTATGGCCTGTTTTTTCCCTAGACCAAACCTGCAGGGACTGTACTTTTGCATGTCATTTGAATTACAGAAAATTATTTGTATTATGAAATTTATTTTTAATATTAAGAATTTAGTGCCATAATGATGAAGTTTCTTATTATATTTATTTCATGAGGACTGCCACATTTTTCAGATAGTTTTAATTTCATTTTAGGTGCCAAATAGTTTCCCATGGAAACAGTATTAATTTTATTATTAAAAGTCAAAGAAAAATAATTTCAATTTATGTGCATCTGCTTTATATCAACCCTGTACGAATATAATTTAAATTAATAGGATAAAATCTTTTTTGTTTTTATTTTTGGCTATATACACAGTAAAACAAGAAAGCTAACTATAAACTACTAATGACTCTACTCATCTTTCCTATTGCATTAATAAAAAGTGAAATTGAAAAGAGAAAGTTACCATAGCAACTTTGGCCTCATAATCATTGGAAATCTGGATGCAAACTTCTTCGGCTCTTGCCTGACAAGCTCGCTCTACCACCTCCTTCCACTGCCTCTGCACGACGGAGCGCCAGCCCTTCCAGACTTTCTTCAGGAGGGTTCTCTGGAAGTACTGGTCCGCTAGTTTACCTTCATAAACCTAAACAGAAGTAACAGACAACCTCACAGCCACAGTGCACTGGGGCACCCGACGTGGTGCTGAGCGCACACTCAGACGTTCAACCCTCCCTAAGGACACTGTCCTTTAACGGCCCCCAGGAGCGGGCTCGGAGGCAGGAGAGCTGCCTAGGTCACATGCGTGGGAGGGAGACGCCAGACCTGCCTCACGCCGCACCTCATTCCTTCCATCGTGGCTTAACACAGCTAGTCAAGTTAGGGGAAAACAGCAAACCAAATCCAAGAAAACGTGGAATTTGCTAGCTTACCTATGAAGTTGCACATTGTATAAATATTTAAATAAATATTCTCGATATGGGTCACTTGACAACTTTCAAAGCATGGTGTACTCATTTTAAACAACTTATTTCAACATGATTAAGGTAGACTTTAGCCATTGGGATTAATTAAAACATGAAAGCACTAGGATATACTCTTGTGCTAGTTAATCTTGAGCGTCAGCGCGCCTGGATTAAGAGAAGCCTGGAAGCTGATTAGATCTTCCAGCCAGGAGCTTGGAGTGAACGAACCCGGGTTGGCGGATGTAGACTGCTGGAGGTGTCACCTGCAGAGGTGCGTTCTGGTCCCGGCCTCTTCCCCGGCTCTCTGCTCCTGCCTGCCGTAGCTGAGGAGCTGTCCTGCATCGCAGCCTTCTGCGATGGCCATTTCTGCCTTGGAATCAGCTGATCCCGGGCTGAAACTGTGAGTGAGAGGAAGCCTCTTCTTCCTTAAGCTGTGTCAGTTATTTTTTTCCCAGCATGGAAAGCTGAGCAATACAAACCCGTACGGAGAAATTCTGTTCCATGGTAACAATAACTTTTTCCTAAATACTACTAATCTCTTGGAAACTAAATGTACAGAAACTACTCCAACGCTCACACGCACATGCATGGAGATATATACCCTTCCCTATACTCATAGGTATTACATATCTTTTCTCTCATGTTTTTCTACTGTGATGTCAGTTTACTATTTTGATATATTGATTCAGTTCTTATTAAATTAAAAGATGTTCAGGTTTAAATTACTCATTTAATTTTTTTTAAAATTAATTTTTTAAATTAAAAAAATCAAATCCAGGCATGGCTTTTTTGATTCTCATGCTAAGGCAAGTCTACACAACAAACATTTGCAGTATTTTATAATGTATGACTATAGTAATATCTTTTTATGAAGAGGTTATATGCAGGAATTTTATTTTTAAGAAAGGGTCTTGCTATGTTGCCCAGCTGCCGATGAACCTCTGGACTGAAGCCATTCTCCTGCCTCAGCCTCCTGAGTAGCTGGGACTATAGGTGGATGAAAATGCTCTCATCTAGGTACTTTAGAAGTATAAACAATATAGGAAGCATATGATACACTTAAGATTATGAATTAATTTTCTACATAACTGTACTTGAGTTCAAATCCAAAAGAAGGCTGATTACCAGGGCATTTATAATTCAGGTACAATCCTTATTAAACTATGATGAAGTAGTAAATGCTCTATCACAAGAGATTTGCCTATAGAATCTGAGGGGTGTTTTTTGAACACTATATAAAAATCAAAATCCTTTGAAGAGAAATAACATCACAAGTTCATTTTGACTTACTAGAAAACACATCTTTCTTCAGCTTTAACAAGAGTTCTGATAAGTGCTGTTACGGTCTAGATTGAGAATGTCTCCCCAAACCTCATGTGTTCCGATGTGGGGATTTTGGAAGGTGATTAAGTCATGGGGGGGCTACAGCCGACTTGCTGTTAAGAGGTGGGGTCTGGCTGCAAGAGGTGGTCACTGGGGGTGTGACTGGAAAGGTGCATATTCTTCCTGGCTGTTTCCTTCTCTGCTTCCTTCCCGCCATGACATGAGCAGCTTTCTTCCACCAGACCCTTTCACTATGCCCTTCCTGCCTTAGAGCTGGCCAACTATGAACTGAATCCACTAAAACCATGAACCCAAATAAGCCTCTCCTTCAAGTTGTGGGTACAAGGTACTGCAACTCAGCAATGCATAAGTGCCTACACAGGATCCTAAACCTTTCTGAGCTCAGAAGTCTAATGTAGTCAGCGATCTTGTATTTACTTATACTCACATCCTGTCTGGATTTGACATGGCCAATCCGCCAGTAGAAGAATGTTCGCATCAGCTCTATCCTTTCCTTTTGTTTGCTTATGGCATGAGACAAGCTGGAAATGACCTGTAAACAGCAATTAACCCAATTATTGTGATATTACAGTAATAATGACTGGTAAAGTGATTTTTTTCATATATCAAAAAATGCTAGAGAGAATTGTTATGAGTCTCTACTGTATTCATCTAGTCAGGGTCATTATTATTATTCAAAAGACCACAAAAATTTCCCATCTGAATATACTACATATTAATAAATAAAAGGGAATAAGAGGAAAGAAACCTTCATTGTATATATTCTGTATATGAAAATTAATGCAGTTATTTACATTTGATTCAGGAAAACAATTGTACATTTGAAAGTTTTGCTATATATACAAATCCACTACACTTGTGAGCACGGCTAGGTTTTAAATAACTTTTAGTCATTTGTACTAAGTATCTTGGTATAGGAAATTTTCAATAACTGTTTAACAACTTTATGGTTTAAAAGTTTTATAAAAGCAAGTAATAGTGACTTTTTGATGTTTCCTCAGAGATTATTCTTGTTCTTAAAAAAAATTGAAGGCCTTCAAATCCTAAGATAATATTCTCTCTTACAAAGAACCAAACAACTTTAAAATGGTCACATTAAAAAATACTTAATGAACTGGACACATTTACCAACAGACATTTGTTACTGTTGTGCTTTTCAAAGGAGGAAATGGCACACATTCAAGGTAACTGTTACATTTTATTTCTTAAACTAGATGGCAGTTCACTTTATTCATTTTCATAAATTCAACGTGATATTAAAATATTTAACAATCTTAGAACAGGTTTTTTTTGAAGATAATAGAGAAAATGACTGGCATTAGTATCTATTGGTTAAAAAAATAAACTACATAAGATGTGCAATTTTATATTATATCCTGCAGAAGCAAAGTATGGTATATTTAAAAAACACAGTCTCCATCTAGTTCCATTGCAACATCTGAGTGCTATTTCCGCAGACGCACGACTGCAGGGTTGCCCCGAGTCCCTCTACTCTGAATGCTACTGCCCTCTGTCCATCCAGCGCAGAGATCTGCTTCCCACCTGCTTTGCTCAGGTGCTGTCAGGAGGCAGAAGTCTGGCAGAGACTTCAACGTTAACCTCAAATTCTCAAGAGGCGGACAACGTGAAACTAGGGATATTTCCTGTGTTTATTTTCAGCCATAAAGAAAGATAGAATTTGAGATACTTAAAATATTCCCTAAAAGGTCAGTTTAAAATGTGGGTAATGCCGGGGATTGTGGTGTGCGCCTGTTATCCCAGCACTCAGGAGGCTGAGGTACGAAGATCACCTTGAGTTCGAGGTCAGCCTGGGCTACATAGTGAGTTCAAGGCCAGTTTAAACTACAGAGAGTGATCCTGTTTCAAAAAACCAAAAAACCAAAACAAAACAAAAATAAAAAGTGGGTAATATTTATTCCACGATGTTCTCTAAAGAGCAGATGAGCGGGTATTAGAAAAATAAAAATTGGTGCACTTGTATTTAGCAGACACTTTTAAGCAAAGATAAAATGGCATCGAGTTGGAGGGTTTAGAAAGAATATCCCTTATGGTTAGGCACTCATTTTTCTATAAGGTTGTGAAGCAATTTCCTGTTTGTATCTTGTATGAACTAAATAATCACCACTTCTTAGAACTCATTACTTAGTAAAGTATTTATTGAATCTCAATCAAAAGGAGATATAAAGCCAGCCATGGGGTCATATGCTAGTAATCGCAGTACTCGAGAGACTGAGGAGGATTGCTGTGAGTTCAAAGCCAGCCTGGGGTACACAGTTAGTGTAAGGGA